ATTTCTCCCACACTGCTGCAATTGAAAAACGTCCTAACTATTCCTTTTTTCCCCCCTTCTTGAAAGGGAGTCTTGCTCTGTTGCCCAGGCTGGAGTGCAATGCATGAGGCTTACTACAATCTCTGCCTGGCGGGTTCAAATGATTCTCCTGCCTCAGCCTCCCGAGTAGCTGGGATTATGGGTGCCTGCCACCACACCCAGCTAAGCTTTTTGTATTTTTAGTAGATATGAGGTTTCACCATGTTGGCCAGGCTAGTCTCAAACTCCTGACCTCAGGTGATCCACCCACCTTGGCCTCCCAAAGTGCTGGGATTACAGACATGAGCCACTGTGTCCGGCCAACCATTCCTTTTTTTTGAGTGACTACTGCTTTCTTTCCAGTGACATCTCTAGCCTTGCTTTGTTACTCCCGCCACCTGAAAAAAATCACCGTGAAACTTTGTGAATACCCCTAAATCCCCAAAGAGGTGATTGATTTGGCCTGAGCCACCAAATAATGATAATGATAAATAAAATCCAACACTTCCTAAACAGTTTCTTTTTTTTTTTTTTTGAGACAGAGTCTCACTCTGTCACCCAGGCTGGAGTGCCGTGGCATGATCTCGGCTCCCTGCAACTTCTGACTCCTGGGTTCAAGCGATTCTCATGCTTCAGCCTCCCCAGTAGCTGGGATTACAGGCGTGCACCACTACACCTGGCTAATTTTTGTATTTATAGTGGAGTTGGGTGTTTCACCATATTGGCCAGGCTGATCTTGAACTCCTGACCTCAGGTGATCTGCCCACCTCGGCCTCTCAAAGTGTTGGGATTCAGGCATGAGCCACCACACCTGGCCTTAAACCATGTTATCACTACAATTCACCACAACCTTGAAATAAGGTACTACTATTCTATTATTCCCCATTTAGAGGTGAGAAAACAGAGACTCAGAGAAGTTAAGTAAATTAAGCGAGTTAATTAAACAGCGAGTTTGTGGCAGAGCCAGGTTTCAAATTCAGAGGTGTGAATTCAATCTTCTGCTTTTTACACAAACTACATCACATCTTTCTTGACCCATGGCACGCCATGAGAATTCAGTCTCTGTGAGTGGACCTGTCAAAATCAACCAGGCCTGAAATCCCAGTACTTTGGGAAGTGGAGGTGGGAGGATCGCTTGAGGCCAAGAGTTTGAGACATGGAAAACGTGGTGAGACTCAATCTCTACCAAAAAAAAAAAAAAATTAGAAGACTTGACCAGAAGGCTGGGCACGGTGGCTCATGTATTGTAATTCCAGCACTTTGGGAGACCAAGGCAGGCAGATCATTTGAGGTCAGGAGTTCAAGACCAACCTGGCCAACATGACAAAACCCCATCTCTACTAAAAATAAAAAATTAGCCAGACATGGTGGCATGTACCTATAATTCCAGCTACTCAGGAGGCTGAGGCAGGAGAATTGCTTGAACCTGGGAGGCAGAGGTTGCAGTGAGCCAAGATTGTGCCACTGCACTCCAGCCTGGGCAACAGAGTGAGACTCCATCTCAAAGAAAAAAAAATCAACCAGTAGCCTTGTGGGTATTGTGTGAGCAGTCTTCCCAAGTGTTTGCCTCAAGCAACTCAGCACCTATTCCTGCCAAAAGGAGAAGCAAAACCAGATAACCAGTGGAATGCACATTATGTGTGCTCAGCACCCATTCCCCCAATTTGTACTCCCCAATATTTGGTCCAGAAGTCACCCCCATGTAGCCTCTGTGCTTCTGGAGAATCTCCGGGGGACAGGCTAAGAGTAATGTGTCTAACGGTGCTAAGCCAAGCCCATGGCCTGCGTCAGCAACATTCCAGAAGAAGAAGAGCCCTGTAGCCAGTTGTTTAGCCATATGGTAGTGATGGGGAACAGTTTCCCAGGTTGGGCATGTGGAAGGTTTTCCAGTACTTTGGATTAAGACAGGATGCAGTGGTCCTAAATTCTTATAACCTTTGTCTCCATGGTTCAGAAACCCAACCTTCATTCGTCAGCAAGTGCCATTCTCCTGACCAATAGAAATTGGTTCAGAAACAGGCTATGAGCCTCCTTGGTTTGCTGGGGAGTTCAAGAAAATACGTTTTCTTTCTTTTCTTTTCTTTTTTTTTTTTTTTTTTGAGAAAGGGTCTCACTCGGTCACCCAGGCTGGAGTCCAGTGGCGTGATCATGGCTCACTGTAGCCTCAACCTACTGGGCCCAAGTGATCCTCCTGCCTCAGCCTCTCAAGTAGGTGTGACTGCAGGTGCACGCCACCCCACCCAGCTGATTTTTTATAGAGATAGGGTTTCGCCATGTTGCTCAGGCTGATCTCGAACTCCTGGGCTCAAGCGATTCACCCACCTTGGCTTCTCAAAGTGCTGGGATTACAGGCATGAGCCACCATGCCTGGCTGGAAAGGAGTTTCTTGAGAGCCACTGGAATACGCATTGTCTCTTCCTCCGGATTTTGCAGGGTGCAGATGTAAGCTTGAAACTGCAGCAGTCAACACCCTAAGGATCCACCCTAAGGATCAAATTAATGGAAAGGTTCAAATAGTTGAGAGGATAGCAGAGGAATAAAATGAGGACCTTGATTGAATCATGCCTGATCTCCACCCCACCACAGTGGACTTTTGGTTATATGAACCAGTAAATACCACCTTGTGGTATTCAGATTGGATTTTCTGTTCTTGCCAATGAAAGCATATGGACTGGCATAGCCTTCTTTGGTGACCAACTGCATCTCTGAGCCCCTGTCTTACTCTAAGCCACCCCACGCGACAGCCTCAGGAGCAGCTAAGGGAATCCATTCTGCTCCTAGGGTATGTTCTGTCAAAGCTGAAGGGCAGGCGTCACACCCACAATCTGTTAGAGTTGGAAGAAAACTCAGCCTTTATTGAAAGTCTTTTTCAGATGAGGAAATTGAGATCATGAGAAGTGATCAACCAGATACCTGTACCCCCTGTTCAGTGTTCTTCCCTCCACATTCATAGTAGCACCCCAGCTTCCTCCTGGACCAGCAGATTATCTCAGGACACATTTACTTGGCACAGATGAGCTCTTGGATACCAACTCTGTGGCTCCCTGGGCAGCACACCCACTTCTGAACCAGCTCCCTACCTCACAGTTAGGATTTCAGGGCAGGGCTGGGAGCTGCCCATCTTCCCCAATCTCTCATCTTTCAATTTCAAAATGCCAAAGGGCCAGAATTACTACTATTACACATATTCTTAAAACATGTGACTTTGAATCCTTTCATGTCCTGAGCCTTTCAGAACCATCCCTTGAAATAGCTGGAGTACAGTGGCATGATCATGGCTCACTGTAGCCTCAACTTACTGGGCCCAAGTGATCCTCCTGCCTCAGCCTCCCAAGTAGGTGGGACTGCAGGTGCACGCCAGCCCACCCTGCTGATTTTGATAGAGATGGGGTTTCGCCATGTTGCCCAGGCTGATCTCGAACTCCTGGGCTCAAGCGATTCACCTACTTCGGCCTATCAAAGTGCTGGGATTACAGGCATGATCCCTAGGCCCATCCCTAATATTTCAGGGTCCAGGAAAGAGTATATATGGACACTCACATACCAAATGTCTAGGTATTTACATTATAATCAAATAACAGACTATTTTTGTTGTTTTGCTTTTTGTCATTTTAGAGGTGGAGTTGGGGGAGGGTTTCACTGTGTTGCCCAGGCTGGCCTTGAATTCCTGGACTCAAGTGATCCTCTCTCCACAGCCTCCCAAGTAGCTGGGCCTACAGGCACATGCCACCTGATATGGTTTGGCTGTGTCCCCACCCGAAATCTCATCTTGAATTCCCACATGTTGTGGGAGGGACCCGTTGGGAGGTAACTTGGGAGGTAACTGAATCATGGGGGCAAATCTTTCCCATGCCGTTCTCATGATAGTGAACAAGTCTCATGAGATCTGATGGTTTTAAAAGGAGGAGTTCCCCTGCACAAGCTCTTTCTCATTCTCTCTCTTTGCCTGCTGCCATCCATGTAAGATGTGACTTCTGCCATGACTGTGGGGCTTCCCCAGCCACGTGGAACTGTAAGTCCAATTAAACCTCTTTCGTTGGTAAATTGCCCAGTCTCAAGTATGTCAGCATCATGAAAACGGACGAATACAAATTCTTAGACTTAAGTGATGTCTCGCCACAGCTTCTCAAATAGCTGGGACTACAGGCACATACCACCACTCCCAACTAAACGATTCAATATGTTCTGCTTCCCTCAAAAAGGATACTTTCATAAAGAATGGAAGACCAGGTTTGAATTTGGAATTTTAGATTCCACAAAGTCCTGTGGTAGCAAGAGGAGAGGAGGGTCCAGCCCATAGCCAGATCCCCTTCTGTTTTTACCCCTGGCCCATCCCACACTAAGAAGGGCCTCATGTGTGTCCATGAGGAAACCCCAGCCCACATTCCAAGCCCCATCTATAATTCCTACAAACAACTTTTTGCTGGTCACCCCCAGGCCTGCATATGTACAGGTCACACTCAGGAGGACAGACATGGGCAAGAGGGCTGCAGGTCCAGGAAGCAGGCTCAAGACCACTTGGGTGGGGAACTGTGGTTTCCCAGGTAGCTGGAGCATGGTCTAGGAGTGGGGCGTGCAAGCTCCAAAGGGTGTGCCACTTTGGCTACATAGACACCTCGCCCTGTGGAGAGGGTAATGGACAGAGGAGGGCCAGGGTGGGGCCCTCCAGCCTTGGGACCCAGGACAGGGCCTCTCTTGGCCAGGTCCAGGAGTAGTACTAGCCCTCCATTCCATCCTAAACAAGGTCCTAAAACTAGGGCTGAGGACAGGGCTGGCCTAGCAAGACTGGGTTTTGTGGCCTCGGGCAAGTCCACGACCTCTCTGGATCTGTTTCCTCCCTTTTGCCTGAGGCAGCTGGAATGCTTCCACATTCCAGAACCCTCCACAGAGTTTGGGAAGCAGATTTGATTTCAGACTCCTCACTCCATCTGGCAATGCTGACACTGCCCCCCATAACCCCCAATGGAAGAGAGAGCCACAGCGGGGAAATGAACTGCCTTTATTTTTTTATTTCCCATCCGGAAACACCAGTGTGATGGTGGAAGCAGCATGAAAACAACATCTCCCCAGGCCTTGCAGTAGAGGCGAAGGGAACAGGGCTGCCCATGTGCCTGCCTCTAAAGATGCCACCCTCAGGTTGATATCACCTGTGGGAGACTGGGTCCACTTACAGACACCAGGTGATGGTCCACCAGGCCCCAAGCTCCAGCCTGCTGAGTCCCCAAGGCTCAGGCTCATCAAATAGCTTTGTACAAAAACCCAGGGGTGTCCCTCCAGCTGGTAACAAATGGACAATTTCTACTTGAGATCTGCTGTGGGGGTGGACCTCATCTTGGAGATATCTTTCCAAAATAAAATTAAGCCCCACTCAGGAAAAATGATGATGAAAGGCAGCTCACAGACATGCAGGACTAATAATCTTATTGAAAAGGGAGGCGCTCAGGCACACAGGAGGACAAGGCTATGCAATATGCAGACAGGAAAGAAATGCCACGGGACGCTGTCGGGGTCAGCAGGAGGCATGGAGGTAGAGCTCCGGCCAGGAACGCTCTGCCTAGAGAGAAGCCCTCTGCAGCTGGCCCTAGATGGGGGACCCAGGGAAGTATCTGCCTAAGGACCAAGGAGATAGCAACAGCCTGCCCAGGTGTGGCTTTGTGCAGGTCACACAGTCCTCGTGAGTCTTCTGGACAGGAAATGGACCTGAGGGACATTTTCGAGACAGGGCCAAAGTGCAGAGAGAGCCAAGAGGTCAAGATGGTGCCGGAGATTTTGAACCACAAGAGCCATCCCTTTGGGAAACACAGAAGAGGAGCGTCTTCTCTGTCCTCTGCTTGGGGCAAGCCTGGGTCAGGTGGGTTCTCAGTACTTTTTCACAGTTAAGTCTCTTCCTGGGCAGCCACATCCACGTCAGGCTGGGCTGGGGTCCTGTGGCAGGTTCAAAGCTGTGAGCCACCCTGAGAGAATGTGCCCACTTCCCTGCTCTGTGGTTCATAGGCCTAGAGAGACCGGACAGCGAGCTGCCCAGGGTAAGTGAGAGTGCCTGCTCGTTTCGGAGGTCAGGGGTGGAGAGGCCTGTACTCCAGATTCCCCAAAGAGATCAAAACGTACTAAAACAGCCTGCAGGTCTATGTGTGTCTAACAGTGCTCAGCCAAGTCCACGGCCTGGGTCAGCGACATTCCAGAAGAGGAAGAGCATTGTAGCCGGTTGTTTGGCCGGATGGTAGCGATGGGGAACAGGTCTCAGGCTGGGCATGTGGAAGGTTTTCCAGTACCTTGGATTAAGACAGGATGCAGTGGTCCTAAATTCTTCCAGTCAGACTGAGTTAACAGCATATCTTAGTAGCAGGAATTTGTCCTTGTTTTTGTCACACAAAGGTGGGTGGAGACGGGGCCAGGACATGGCCAGTTTGATGACGGTGGAGAAGCTGCTGCCAGTTCTGTGGGGCGCAGCCCACCTGCTCCTCATGGCCCTCAGGTGAAGTAGCGGCAGGGCGTGGAGTCAATGTAGCAGTACTGGGTGCATCGCAGGTCTCCATATGACCTGTGGGAGGCAAAGACACGTTCTAAAAGGCCACCTCTTATATGCTGGTGATTCCCAGTCAAACCTCATCAAACAGTGGCCAAGGGTCAGTGGTTCTATAAAAACTTTTCCTATTCTCATTTGGAATGAGAGAGCTGGGGGAGTTGAATCATGTCTCTGGGATTTTTGCCTTGAGCTCCAGCTAGGGGCCTGGGTGGAAGGAGGTGGTCGCCTGCTCTTAGCACAGCATCTATGAGGGAATCACCCCCTTCTCAAGGCCTGAAAGGTTTCCAGTACTGTTGTTACAATGCACCCTACCGACAAAAATGTCCTGTATCTGTGAAGCCACCGGCCAGATGTGACTATTGAGCTCTTGAAATATAGCTACTGTGACTGAATAACTGCATTTTTTGTTGTTGTTGTTTTTGAGACGGAGTGTTGCTCTGTCCCCCAGGCTGGAGTGCAGTGGTATGATTTTGGCTCACTGAAACCTCCGCCTCCCAGGCCTGCCTCAGCTTCCCGAGTACCTGGGATTACAGGCGCGCGCCACCAAGCCCAGCTAATTTTTATATTTTTAGTAGAGGCGGGATTTCACCATGTTCGACAAGGGTGGTGCCGAACTCCCAACCTCAGGTGACCTGCCCACCTCGGCCTCCCAAAGGGCTGGGATTACAGGCGTAAGTCACAGTATCTGGCCTGAGTAACCGCATTTTAAGTTTACTTATAATTACTTTACATTTGAACAGTGGCCTGTGAGTGGGGGCTACCATATTGGACAGTGCAGCTTATACCTCTGTAGGCCCGGATGATCATCCGAGACAGGGTGTTAAACCTCACAGGCACAGTCACAAGCGTCCCTGGGAGGCTTCTGGGGTGTAGCTGTGTAACCACAGTGAGCGTGGGGGAGCCCTGGGCTCTACTCAATCCTGCACTCCATATCTGATCGTCTATACTCATTTGTCTTTGTGGAGCCATGAAGAGCCAACTCTCTGGCAGAGGCCTGTCACGGGCCTTCCTTCGTTCAGGGAGGGGAGCACTGCACACAGACACATGCATGGAGTGGGGGGCCAAGCCTAAACAGGCTTGGAGTCGGGGAAGACTACAGGTCTGTGGTTTTCACAGCCTGGTTGAACATACTAATATGCGAGTGTTAGGAGACCCCCTTGGAAGAGAGAGCAGACAGCGGGCAATGGAAAGACAGGCATGGCTCCCCAGCCCTGCCAAGGGCCTGGGTCCGAGTCTACAAGAGGAAATGTGATGGGAGCAAACGCTGAAGAGACTGGACTCAAGGACAGAAGAGATCAGAGGCACCAGTAGATCCACTCTGGAACCCAGGGAAGAGCAGGGCATGGCCTGGGTGGGAAGGAACGGCCTCCCCATTTTCCTGAGAACTTTGTACAACTCTGGTTCTGTAAGGACTGGGGAGACATGTACCTTCTGCACCTTGGAAGGAGCCCAGCGGTTACAATCTGGGCATGGAATCAGCACCTCATGGGGCGGTGGCCCTCAGTTGGTTTGGCAGGTGCCAGCGTGGAGCCAGGACACTAGAATACTTGTCCTGAGCAACATAAATAGCCGCTGAGGATTCTCAGAAATAACTAGAGGGGTCCTTGGAGGGAGTACTTTCCTGGAGGGGCCACAAGCTTGCAAAATTAGATATAAAGACTGATTTGATCTCACTTGCAGTCACAGGCATGCCTGAGGGTGTTCCAGGGAAGTCAGGTTAGGTAGACACGTCGATTCTTCGAAATGCCCTGAGACCTTTACTCTCCACTGGGCTTCCCACCTCGGCCCACAGCCCAGGAGACTAAGCAGTCGTGGTGACCACTGGGTTTGGGGGCTGCTCATACATGGCAGCAGCTGAGCACAGAGACCGCAGCTCCCCTCTGGGCCTCGGACAGAGCAGGTGGCTGTGGGTGCCATGGCTCAGCCTCAGTGGCATGCAGGCAGTGCTGACCAAGAGGGCACGTGGTGGGCAGGGAGCACGTGCTGTGTCATTCGTCACCATACCTCAGTGTCTAGAAGGCACCACAAAGTGGAGAGGCGCTCAAAATATTTGTGAAGGAAAGAAGGAAAGCAAAGAGGAGGGAGGGAGAAAGAGGGAGGAGAGAGAGGGAGAGGAGTCATCCCTACCCAGGGAGATAGGTCTCGCACGTCAGGTAGCCAAAGTCAGAGCCGTCACAGTCCTCCACACCCTCATGCCGGTGACCATCTCCACAGTAGGCACGGTGACAGCCTGAGGGGACATAAGGAGGTGCAGTCCTGAGAAGGAGCAGAGGCGATAGGCTTGCCTCAGCTTGTAAGGACCATGCAGCCCAAGGGATCCACCCTAAGTGCTGCACCCCTTAAGGAACTGACCTCCATTAAGCTTCACACTCCTCCAGGGACTGCCCTCAGGCTCTGGTCCCACACTGATGTGCCATGGGACAAGAAGAAGGAGACCCTGGCTCTGGCCCCACCTGACCACTTACTAGCTGAGGGGTGGGGAGACTCCAGGTCGTTATCTGCAAAACTGGGACACTGACATGACCTCCACCTCATAAAGCCACTGTGGGGTCCCAGGAGTGAGGGCTGGGAGACTGCTGAGCCCCAGTGAGGGTGCGTGGTGACTCTCATCTGTCAACAGAGAGCTTCTGCGTGACACTGGTGAGCCCAGCCTTGTGTCCCTGGGGAGCCGCATGATCTTCAGCAAAGACCTCTGCTCTCACACGATGGGAGGGTGTGGGAGTATGAACCCCAGCTTCGTTTTCACAGGGCAGGCAGAGTCCATTAGTTCCTTCCCACTGTGAGAGCTCCTATTTGACACTGTACACCAGAGGCAGAAGGGACTCTGGGCAGGGCCAGCCTTCTCGGGGATGCCATCCCTGGAGCTGTCAGGAGACAGTTCGGCCACACTGAGACAGTCAGCAGCATCTCCCACCACCCACTCTGCCCTGTCATCCCTCCCCTGAACTTTTTTTTTGAGACAGGGTCTCGCTCTGTCTCCCAGCCTGGAGTGCAGTGGTGCAATCACAGCTCACTGCAGCCTTGAACCCCTGGGCTCAAATCATCCTCTTACCTCAACATCCAACTGCGCACCACCAGACATGGCTAATTTTTTTAATTTTTAATTTTTTTGTAGAGATTGGGTCTTGCTCTGTTGCCCAGGCTGGTCTCGAACTCCTGGGCTCAAGTGATCCTCCAACCTCAGCTTCCCAAAGTGTTAAGATTACAGGCATAAGCCACTGTGCCCAGCCTCCCCTGAGCTTCTTAAGAACAAGGACCATGACTTTGCATCCACACACATACAGCCCTGAGCTCCAGCCTGGCTCTTTAGAGGAGGGGCTTAAACCACAAGCCCTAAATGAATTCAGGGAATGGTGGTTGAACCCTTACTATATCCAGATAATTCCTGCACATATTAGCTCACAGGATCTCTAGAGACTTGAGCAGCCAGCACATCATACCCATTTTACAGGCAAGGAAAGTGAGGCTCAGAGCTGTAAATTGCCCCCCATTACCCCACCCACCATGTGGCCTCTGCCTGGAGCCTGAGGGTGGTTGGTGTTTCTCAGGGCCTGCATTCAACGTCTGTTGACTCTAAAGCTCATGCTTTCCACCACACCTCCTGGTTTTGTTACTTGATTAAAAAACAACAACAACAAAAGCAAGCCCTCCAGAGCCTGCTGCCCACCAGTTAAGGCAGCAGCCCACAAGGCTGATGGCAGCTCTGGCTGGCCCAGTTTCCCCTGTGGAGGGCTTTGCTACTAGAGCTCTACCCGGTAAATGAGCCCTCATTCAGATTCTTGGCCTCTCCCTTTTGCCTTTCACTCCTCCATGCAAAGTGAGAGCCCATCACTTTTTTCTTCTGCACCTGTAACATGGGTTTTGCTAAGACGGAGGACTGGGAGGACCTGGTGGCTACATTTTGAGATAAAGAAGGCCTAACTGGGGGCACGATCCTTGACATCCACCCCTGGTGAGGTGCTTGGGTGGTGGAAGAGTTAACATATGGGCTGAAATTGGGGCTGGGGTGGGTGGCACAAGGCAGCCTGGGTACACCCTTCTCTGGCTCTAGAAAGGTCCCAAACCACCACAGCTGGTGTCCAGGGCTGGCCCCAAGTCCCACCCCCCTGCTGTTCAGGCCTCAATTCCTCCTGGGCTGGGCCTCACTCACGGATGCAGTCGTCACCCACATCGCTGTTACCATCGTCACACTCCTCCCCGGGCTGCAGGAGCCCATCCCCGCAGGTGCCGCGCTGGTCTGCAGTGTAATCCACAGGGTAGAAAGGGGTCAGCTGGCCAAAGAAGCACACAGCATTAACTGGAGCATGGCATACCAAGGCAGCCGCAGGCAGGGAGGTCATTTGTTCTGGGTCCGATGGCACTGCTGAGGCATGCCTTGACTTCCTCCCAGGGGTGGGAAAGGTACTCCTTTCCTGTCGCCCAGAGCTCTGTAGCTGGTTAAATGCTGGGTCAGATCAAGACAGCAACCTGGCACGCAGGGATGTGGAGACCCCCTGGAACCCTGACTCAGAGAGGGGCTTCTATTTGGGGGTCAGGGTGGGGGAATGGAGGGCTGCTCAGAAACAGCTTGAGGGAGGATGCTCAGCCCTCCCATGCAGACAGACTACAGAAAGCCCTCCCCAGGCCCAGTGGGGTGGCCTTCCCTTCCTTTAATGGATGCATCTCTCTCCTGGGCAGGGAGTATGTCCTGAGGTGATGGCCTGGGGGTACCTGGATGGGGAGCCAGCCAAGGCTGTCCTTGAAGTACAGAGATCTCTGGTCTCTGCGAAAGGCAATGGCATTTTGGGTGTTCAGCCTCTCAAGCTCCTCCTGGTTGTTGACCACAAAAATCTGCCAGAGAACACACTGGTGAGGATTCCAGAAAACACTTCTGCAGGGGGCAGGGAAAAAGCTGGAGGAGGAAACAGACTATCCTCGGGCTGCTCAACAGTGGAAAGAGGAGTTTGCACACTACACTCTAGCATTCCTTCTGAAGTGAGAGCAGTGTCTTGATTCCCTCACCTTCTCAATTCAGTTCCTAATGTCTAAGTTTGAAACTAAAATATTCACTCGGATTTAACTTTTTTTTTTTCTTTTTTCTTTTCTTTTGAGACGGAGTCTCACACTGTTGCCCAGGCTGGAGTGAAGTGGCACGATCTCAGCTCACTGCAACCTCTGCCTCCCGGGTTCAAGCAATTTTCCTGCCTCAGCCTCCTGAGTAGGTGGGATTACAGGTGTGCACCACCATGCCTGGCCAATTTCTGTATTTTTAGTAGAGACAGGGTTTCACCATGTTGGCCAGGCCGGTTGCAAGCTCCTGACCTCAAGGTGATCTGCCCACCTTGGCCTCCCAAAGTTCTGGGATTACAGGCATGAGCCACCGTGCCTGGCCTTGGATTTAACATTTTAAAATATTTAAAATGTTCCCAAGATTAAATTAAAAGACAATGTCATATAGTCAAATAATTTGACATCTGGAAGTGATTCTTAAAATTATCCTACTCAAAGATGTTCTTTACAGTATTATTTACATTAGTAAAAAGCTTGGGGGTGGCCAATAAGCAATAGGTTGGTTAAACACCAACACTGGTTAAGTAAATTGTAGCACAGCCACACTGGATGGATGATTATGATGAACTGACGTCCAAGGTTTACTTCAAAATAATCCAGCAGAGGATGGGCAGTAGTGAGTGGGCATAAAGAGAAAACAAGGACACAGGCTCGCGATGAATTGATCATTATTAAAGTTGGGTGAAGGGTACATAGGGGTTCATTACACTATTTACTCCGCTTTTATATGTATTTGAAATTTTCTCTAATAAAAAGTTTAAAATGTTATTTATAGAGTGTGGAAACATGACAGGATTTCAACTAAGATAACAAAGTACAACTTTTTTTTTTTTTTTTTTGTGAGCTGGAGTCTCGCTCTGTCACCCAGGCTGGAATGCAGTGGTGCAATCTCAGCTCACTGCAACCTCTGCCTCCCGGGCTCAAGCGATTCTCTTGCCTCAGCCTCCCAAGTAGCTGAGACAACAGGTGTGCACCACCATACCCTGCTAATTTTTTATATATTTTTAAGTAGAGATGGGGTTTCACCATATTGGCCAGGTTGGTCTCGAACTCCTCACCTTGTTATCCACCCGCCTTAGCATCGCAAAGTGCTGGGATTACAGGCATGAGCCACTGTGCCCAGCCAAAAGTACAACATTTGTATGCAATATAATCTCAACCATAAAAAAGTTAGATTTTAATAAGACAAAGAAAATACCCCAAAATGAACTCACAATCAAATGGGCAATTTGGTTTTCCTCTTTTGATTTTCTCTTATTTTCCAGTTTCCTATAATGAGCATGTACCCGGAGTCATGAAAAAAAGTAAGTTTTACTGAAAGGATTTCACAAAGCCCCCTAAGGATCAGGTGAGAGGTCCTCATGGATAACCACCCCAGACTTCTCCCAGAAAGCCTTACCACAGGAACTCGCGGGGAACTGGGCCCATACACGGATTCCCCGTAGGAAGGGTTATTCACATTCATAGTGGGTCCACAAAGACATCTTCCTGGAGGCCCGGGAAATCCTCTTTCCCCTTTGGGTCCCATTATAAGTTGTCCTAGGAAGCAACAGACTGCTGTGTTTAGAGCCAAGGAAGAGAAGACCAAACAACCCAGGGAGATGTGAGTGACCTTTGCAACAGAAAAAAGGTTAAAGTCCACAGCATTTCAGGGAATGCCTGAGGGAGAGGTTCAAAGAGATGCTTTTGATCCAAGACGTGGAGGAGATAAGGGAAGAAAAATAGCTGGTAGGAGACAGTTTCCCCCTCCTTCCTGCCTTGAAGACAGGCAAAACGGCTGGTGTTGCAGCCATGTTGCAACCAGGAAGTCACAAGCATGAGAAGATAAGTCAACATGCAGGAAAGGCTCATGGGGCCTGGGGCCCTGACAGTGACAGTCAGAGGCTGAATCAAAGCCAGTTACTGTCTGCCTCTGGATTTCTTTATTGGAGAAAAACAATGCCCTATTGGTTTACACCATTATTAACAGAGGGCTTCTTGCCGACAAACACATTATTGACTGTTAACTTTTATTATTTTAAAAAACTTTTGTTTTTCTTATATATAGAATCTTTTTTTTTTTTTTTGAAATGGGGTCTTGCTCTGTTGCCCAGGCTGGAGTGCAGTGGTGCGATCTTGGCTCAGCACAACCTCTGCCTCCCAGGTTCAAGCGAGTCTCCTGCCTCAGCCTCCTGTGTAGCTGGGATTACAAATGTGTGCCACCACGCCTGGCTAATTTTTGTATTTTTAGTAGAGACAGGGTTTTGCCATGTTGGCCAGGCTGGTCTCGATCTCCTGACCTCAAGTGATCTGCCCGCCTCAGCCTCCCAAAATGCTGGGATTACAGGCGTGAGCCACCTCGCCCGGCCAATGTAGGATCTTTACAGAGGAATTTCTGGGTGTGAGTTTCTTTCATTTCTTCTGGAAGAAAATAGAACGTTAGTATATGCCCAGTCCATTTACCCTCCCCTGGTGCTGAAGAAGTGAGGACATGTCTTGAAAAGACGTGATCAGGTGTACTCCCTACCTATGCGGAAGAGCTGTGAGGGCAGTACCTTAGTTTTTAAAGGCTCTGATGATGCCCAGACCAATTCTGTCAAGACTTCTGAAAACTAAACTGAACCTGGGCAGCATCCATACTTTTACTTATTTATTTTTTAAAAAAGTTTTTTTTTAACCACTTTAGTATAAGGCATCTTTTTTTTTTTTTTTTTTTTTTTTGGAGATGGAGTCTCACTCTGTTGCCCAGGCTGGAGTGCAGTGGTGTAATCTCAGCTCACTGCAACCTCCGCCTCTGACTACAGGTACATGCCATCACATTTGGCTAATTTTTGTGTTTTTAGTAGAGACAGGGTTTCACTATGTTGGCCAGGCTGGTCTCGAACTCCTGAACTCAAGTGATCCACCTGCCTCAGCCTCCCAAAGTGCTGGGATTACAGGTGACAGCCACCACTCCTGGTCAGGCATCCATATTTTTAAAAGCTCTCAAGATGATTCCAATTCGCACCAAGGTTGAGAACTGGGCCATTCCCCTGCCAGATCATCCTCCCTTCATCCTCCATCCCTCCCCAGCTGCCTCTCAACTCCCTTCTGATCTGGGTCCAAACATCACTTCCTGAAGGAAGTCTTTTTGAATCCTCAGACTCTGTCATGTATATCTGGGATACAATTTCATGGTTTCCTATGCCTTTTCTTCACAGCACTTCTCTTTGTTTGTGATTCTATATTCTGCGGAATTCTTCCATCAAGGTTGATCTCCAGTAGAATGTCGCTCCACAAGGACAGGGCTAGTGCCTGTTTTCATCCACCAGGACTTACACAAAGTAGGGGCATGGAAAGTGTTTGATGATTGAATGAATGAATGCAGACTAATTGGAAAGAAACAGTCTTCAGAAAAGGGCAAAAGTCACATTCTGGCTGGCAGAAAAGAACCAGAGCAAGAGCCATCCAACAGGAAGTGAGGAAAGAGAAGAAAAGATGGGGACTGAGAAGAGAAATAAGTAAGGATCCCTTCTTCTGGGAAAATAGCAGGGGGTGGGTTTGGAGGCCAGCCAGTCATTAGTGTCAGGTAGTATGACATCTGCGGCAGCCAGGGGCTGGGAACACAGTTCACAGATACAGAAGGGCAGGAAATGAAATGACCCCAGGGGAGAGATCCGGCCAGGACCCCAGGGAAACCACTGCAGCCGGAGAAGGAGACTGAACCTTCCCGAGTAGGTTGACACGTATGCCTACAATCAGAATGCTGATGGCACGAGGGGGAATGGAGCTGTACCAACATCTTATCCTAAGCTATGCTTGTCTGTTCTAACAAGAAGTACAAATATAATTCTGTAGGAAGAGTTCCAGTGTGTGTTCTGATATCTTCAGAAGAGCCCAGAGAGACAGGGAGTCCACCAGCCTAGGAATATTCTGGGTAATTAACCACTTGGGGAAACTGAAGTGGAAAAGCTCTGTGACCAAGAATATGAGGGTGGGATTGCAGCAGTCTTCCAGAAGGCTCTGTGACCCCAACAACTCCTCCAGAACCGTGGCCTGAGAGACAGTCAGGAGTTTGTCCCATTAGCTGCTGATGAATGGTGAGGCTGAGATTTGAATTCATGTTTGACTTAACACTATGCTGTTCAAAAGACAAATGTCCAAGAATACTGATGCTCTCAGGAAGCCAGCAATTCCCAGGTACCACGCTGATTCACTTATACTCTGTCTGGGTACAGGAAGGACTTGGCCAAATTTGTAATTTGATTATTGCAAATTACATCCTAAAGGCATTTTGCCTTTATTCCCTTCCCACCTCCTAGCCCCTCTTTCCCTCTAACTCAGGTAAGTACAAAGCTTTCACCTTTTCCACCTCTCCCAGCACCATCCAGTCCCACAGAACTGGGCACCAGAAACTGAGGTCACCTCCTGACAGGACGTGGCAGGGAGCCTGCTGCCACCACTGCAGTGTCCCTGCAGCTTCCTCCCAGTTGCTGGAGGGTGTCCATTACCCCTGCCAGTTTTCTGCCAGGCTACACTGAAGGACACAGCAACCTGAACTTCCCCACCCTGACCTCTGGGGGATCATGTCTCGGCTGGGTTTCATCCCCACCCCCTGCAGCCAGAGGACCCGGCTCTCCATCTTTGCCCAGGCAGCCTCCCACTTCCATTGGCTGCCTCGGTGGGAAAAGATCAGCAGAGGGGAATCTAAGAGAAGGCAGAGAAACCAGCACAACAACCTCTAGAGGTCGCCTGGCTGACACTCACAGGAGTCATGGACCGATTCTGGACCAGGGTGGCCCCCCGTCAGTGCTGTGACTTTGCAGGCATCACTTCTCTTTCAGGTTCAAGATTCTTATCTCTAAGCGGAGGGTAGGACTAGACCAGGGGAGTTTTAATTTGTGGTCTGCAGAGGCCGAGGCTATCTCATGATGGCAGTGGGGCAGGGGTTCTGGAACCCGGGGAAACGGGGTGCAAAACCTTGGGTGTAGGTATACAGAGTTGTTTTCCCCCCTAGGAGTGAATTTGAGACTTTTGTCAGACTGACAAAGGTAATGTCAGGAGTGAATCTGGGGGGCCTAGTCCAACTCTGGATGATTATCCAGCTGGTCCCAAACACAGGGATATCTTATTTACTTATTTATTTATTTATTTATGAGACAGAGTCTCACTCTGTCGCCCAGGCTGGAGTGCAGTGGTGAGATCTTGGCTCACTGTAACCTCCGCCTCCCAGGTTCAAGCGATTCTCCTGCCTCAGCCTCCTGAGTAGCTGGGATTACAGGTGCCCGCCACCATGCCCAGCTAATTTTTGTATTTTTAGTAGAGATGGGGGTTTCACCATGTTGGCCAGGCTGGTCTTAAACTTCTGACCTCAAGTGATTCGCCCACCTCAGCCTCCCCAAGTGCTGGGATTTCAGGTGTGAGCCACCGCGCCTGTCCGGATAGCTCTTTTTAACTCCTTCCTCGCCCTCTCTCCCCACCCCTCCAAAATTTTCCAAAGAGCAGGATTATTTATTGCCCCATCTTCTCTTTTCTCTCTTCAGCCCCCTCACTCAGGAAGGCTCCTCAGAAAGGAAGTGTCTCAAAGGACGGAATTGGGGGCAGGGGCATCAGTCCAAAGAGACGGCCCCATCCTGCTTGGCTCCTAAGGAGATGGACTGTGAACCCACAGAACCCCTGCCTGGGAGCCCCTGCAGGAAGCAGCCCTATCCACCCACATACCATGTGCCACTGGGGACGTGAAGCTGACTCAGCCGCTGACGCTGCCCTCAAGGATCTAGCAAGAGGATGAAACACACCTGCAGAAATGTTACCAATGGAGAGGCCATAACAGAGAGGCAATATGTGACCAGGGCTCGGGGTGGGTGATCTATCCTGTTAGGGGCCAAGGAAGGCCTTACTGAAAAGAGAACTTCGAAGGAAGAGAGAATTTCGTTGGATGGACAGGAGGTGAGAGGAGTGCCATGTCAGGCCATGTGGACCCAGAGAGACCATAGGAATAGCTCCAGCTCCATATATGGCATCCTCTGAAGGGTAGAGGGCAGGGTGTGATTGGGCAGAGGCTGGGGTAGTCAAGGGAGAGGGAGGTGGGCATCCTGGGTGGAAGAGAGGGAGCTGGAAGGCCAGGGAGAAAAAGTATGACTCTGTGGGGCCTGCTGAGAGGACAGGATTGCAATACACAGAATACTGACAAGAGAAACAGCGGGCACCGAGGAGCTGCTGACAGTTCCAGCCTAGCCCTTCTCATCCATCCCCCAGCCCCAGGAGGGAACCAGAGTTCAGGTCAGGTGAGGGTTGGTCTTTACACAGAGATAAACACAGTGAGACCATTAAGATCTCAGTCCACTACAGACCTCCCACGCATCCACACATCACATGCCCCTGGACTACTCCTCAGTATTTTTTTGTTTTGTTTTGTTTTTGAGACACAGTCTCGCTCTGTCGCCCAGGCTGGAGTGCAGTGGTGCGATCTCGGCTCACTGCAAGCTCCGCCTCCCGGGTTCACGCCATTCTCCTGCCTCAGCCTCCCGAGTAGCTGGGACTACAGGTGCCCGCCACCACACCCAGCTAATTTTTTGTATTTTTAGTAGAGACGGGGTTTCACCATGTTAACCAGGATGGTCTCGATCTCCTAACCTCGTGATCTGCCCACCTCGGCCTCCCAAAGTGCTGGGATTACAGGCGTGAGCCACCATGCCCAGCCTACTCCCCAGTTTTGTGAGCCCCTAGGTACCCCAGGGGCCAAGAGAGTCCCTTCTGAAGGCACAACCCAGACCTCAGGCCATGCTCTCAGTCTCTGGGGTTGGTAACTCATAGTCATGGGACTCCAGGGGGACATCTTGCCTTCCAGAACCATGGAGGATGAGGACTAGTTGAAAGGACCCTGATTCAGATAATCCAGCCAATTCCAAAACTGAATTATGGAGTGTGGGCACGTGGCCTGGGTTGCATCTCAGATCTGATTCCCCTAACAACATGGAAACAGGTGCCACAAACATAAGTTACTACCCATACTAATCAGTGTGTGTTCTCCCAGTATTTCCTTCCTTCTCTCCCTATTTCAAGGAGGTAGCAAGAGTTTGTGCTTTCTTGCCCTTGCTAAAAGCAGGTAATATTGGAAACAAACTTTTCTTTCTGCCTTCTGTTCTCTGAAGGACAAAGCTCCTAACTGGGGTGCTGGTATATGAGGAGTATCAGGAAGGAGGGAGTCAGGGATGGAAGACGAGAGACTTCCTAGACAGGGACAGGAGAGTATCCTGGGGAAGAGACAGGCCTCAGAAAGAATGGTTGTGGGGTGCTCCTTGGACAGTTGAACTGTGGGGACCAGGACTCCCAGCCTTGAAAATGTTCTGATACCCATGTATGGCATAGGAACAGCAGCCACCAGTTATCTGTGGACCACAGGGACTTGGGTGACAAGTCTATTTCTATTTCAACTCTATTTCAGAGGTGAATGGAGTAGACCAAAGGTTGGAGGGACCTTCCCTGACATTTTTCTGCCATAATTCACCAGGATCTTTGCCCAACCCATTAGTGGTTGCTGGAAGAGTAGTGAAAATCCTAATAATGCCTGAATTAAATGTTTTGGCATCCTAGCAGGTTGGACTCTCAGAGCCAGATTTAACTCAGTTTAAAGGATCTAACAAAATATGACATTTCTTGCCCATCCCATGATGTGGCTGCAAATATATTTCCATAAACACAGGAGGAGGGGGAATACACTATGGAATTATAAATGTCTTCGTTTTCTTAAGAAAAGAGTTGGAATAAAAATTGTTTGGATTCATTTTGTATAACTGAAGACAAAAAAATGTTGCAGTCAACAAATGATCTTCTTGATACTGTCTTTATACAGTTGATGTGCTGTGAAAGCCCCTACCATGAGCTGACAAGGGAAAGAAATAAAGGGCTTAGCTAATAAAATTGAATGAGGTAAAAGAAGGAAGCAGCGGCTGGGCATGGTGGCTCATACCTGTAATCCCAGCACTTTGGGAGGCCAAGGTGGGCAGATCACGAGGTCAGGAGTTTGAGACCAGCCTGACCAACATGGTGAAACCCCATCTCTACTAAAAATACAAGAATTAGCCAGGTGTGGTGGCGGGCACCTGTAATCCCATCTACTCAGGAGGCTGAGGCAGGAGAATCACCTGAACCCGGGAGGCAGAGGTTGCAGTGAGCCAAGATCGCACCACCGCACTCCAGCCTGGGTGACAGAGCAAGGCTCTGTCTCGAAAACAAACAAGGAAGCAGCATATCTATGCCCTTCTCAATAGCAGACTTTTAATTTTTATTTATTATTTATTTATTTATTTATTTATTTATTTATTTAGAGTCTCGCTCTGTCACCCAGGCTGGAGTGCAGTGGCGTGATCTTGTCTCACTGCAAGCTCTGCCTCCCAGGTTCACGCCACTCTCCTGCCTCAGACTGCTGAGTAGCTGGGACTACAGGTGCCTGCCACCACACCTGGCTTATTTTTTGTGTTTTTAGTAGAGACGGGATTTCACCTTGTTAGCCAGGATGGTCTCGATCTCCTGACCTCGTGATCTGCCCACCTCGGCCTCCCAAAGTACTGGAATTACAGGCGTGAGTCACCGTGCCCGGCTAACTTTTTATTTTTTAATTTCATTTTAGTAATTTATTTCTGTATCTTTTTTTTTTTTTTTTTGAGACAGAGTTTCAAGATGGCACAATCTCAGCTCACTGCAACCTCCACCTCCCAGGTTCAAGCGATTCTTCTGCCTCAACCTCAGAGTAGCTGGGATTACAGCTGTGTGCCCCCAGGCCAGGCTAATTTTTGTATTTTTAGTAGAGAAGGGTTTTTGCCATAGTTGGCCAGGCTGGTCTCAAACTCCTGACCTCAAGTGGTCTGCCCACCTAGGCCTCCCAAAGTGCTGAAATAACAGGCGTGAGCCACCACGCCCGGCCTCTTTCTATATCCATTGCAAACAAATAAGGACTCTCGTATACCACTGTAAGATAGAAAAACCTGCAATGTCACCTTTACTTCTAGGTTTAAGAGAATTGCTTGGAGCCATGAAACTTTTATCTAGAAAAAGGTATTCGTTGATGAAATATGTTCCTGTTATTTTTCACTTAAGGTATAAATGACATCATTAATGTGCTTTTTTTCTTTCCTCTATTTGTTCTTCAGAATGCTAAAACAAATTCAGAATGGCATTTATCTCTCTTGCGTAAAAGTTGAATGAGCTAAATTGTGGAGAAATTATAAAGATATTGGAGTGCCCCTGGCAGTTTCTAACTTGAAACACAAGGCATCTCTGCTGGCATCTCCTTGTGTTCTCTCTGGGAGGCTGGCCAGTACTGCAACAGTGGATCAAGTGAAGCAGTGTAGCTCTTACCTGCAGATGGGGGGCCTGGGGGCCCTGGGGGGCCTGGACGGCCAGGTTGACCAGAAGGCCCAGGCTTGCCGGGTGGGCCCATAACTCCACTATCCCCTTTCTGTCCCTGACAGAGAGAAAGGCAGAGCCTGTTATGAAAGCACGACATAGCAAGCTTCCTGCCCCATTTATCACTAAATCAGAGATCACCTTGTACTTAAGGAGCACTTAAACAGCAAGGTGCTGGTTAAGCACCTTGCACTTAACCAGCGGGGGATGCAGCTCCAGAGGTCTTGACCATCAAGCTCTTAATAAGCTTAGGGCAAGTGACATCTGAGATAGTGATGGTTACAAGTTTGCAGACCTTACTTCTTGCTCTGTCCTACAAATGTGGTACTTGGCAGCTGAAAAGAACCAGACAAATCTACTCTAGGCCCCGGGCAGATGAGGAAATGGAGGCCTAGAAATGAGCTATTTTCACTCATTGGCTTCCCATTGCACTCAGGATAAAGACTTAGCTCTTTAGTGCAGCCTGCGAAGCCTTGCATGGCCAGGCTTTCCAGCTTCATTCCAGCCTTCTGGCCTTTTTGGTCTTCAAGGGCACCATGTCTATTATCCCCCTTCTCAAGACCCTTCTCTCGGCCTCAAAATCTCCTCCTTCCCCCTAGCCTAGTTAACTGTCACTTACCCTTTGGCTCTCAGCTCAAACGCCCTATGGCAAAGCCTTCCCTGACCTTCCTGGACAGAGTCAGTTCACCCCACCATAAGCTCTCACAGCTCAGCCTGTTTCCTTCATGGCATTTATCCCAGATCGTAGCATATGGATTATTTGTGTGGTCATTTCATTGATGTCTCCCCATGAGACATACACAACCTACGGGCTGGAATCTGTCTAGCTCGCCTCCTTTCCCCAGATGAAACGAGGGAGGACAAAGATGCTAGAAACACAAAGGTAGGCAGCTTTGCTGATCTGTAACTCCAGAGGTTTCACCTTGACCTTGAGACTCTGGGTAACTCATGTCACTGCTTTGTACCTCAGTTTCGTCATCTTAAAAATGGGACCAGTAAATTTACACCCACATAGGTTTGTTGTGAGAGTAACAAAGATCTCAGAGGTGAAAATGCAGTTTGCACAGAACGAAGAGCTATGTGGGGCAAGTCAATTATCACAGCAACTGGCCTGGTTCCATGTGTTTCACAGAGTTAAACAAGTCCTGGTTTATTAAAAAGGGCACACCTGTGGCTACAGCCGTTCCACATGGAGTGTCCTCTTTTCTGCCTATTCTGGGAGCATCAAGAGCAAAGACTGGGCTCTTCGTTCTCCCTCAGGGTTGCCCTTAGGAGTCACCCTGAAACCAAAGCTGGTGCATGCTATTGACTCTTCCCCTAAGCAATTTGCTAATTGTCTGCTCTTGCCTCAGGCCTAATCAGAGCAGTGATTGACACATGACGTTTTTGGCCTGGTTCTTCTTACTACACTTGTGCCTTGGCAGGCTTGCCCACCTGATGAAATGTAGTATTTCTCAAATCTGGGGAGCAAGCATACTTGGGACTCCTTTCCAGCCACAACGGTGACAGGTGACCTGCCGCCTTGTCCACATGGCACTGGGAACCCTCTTGGTAATGTCCAAGGAGTTCTTGAACTCTGAATATGGGATCTGTGAGGTCAGAGTTTATTTCTGATTTCATGTTTATGGAGGGAGTTCTTAAGCCTCAGCCCAAGCTGAAGCATTCCCTGCAGTAACCAAGCTGGGTCCCAGCATGGCAAAGGAAGTCACACCATCTTAATATAGCCACAGTTCAGGCTTGTTTTTCTAACGGCCTTGTCAGCTGGCTCTGAGCACAGGAAGTGCCAAAGTTTGAAGGAGCTGGAAAGGCTCCTTCATTCTGACACCAGCAGTGATGGAATATTCCTCTTATCGGCCATCGCTCAGAACGAGCCATATCTCTATCAGCAGGAATCACTGAGTAGAGCTTTCCAGGAAAGGCATTCTTTATTCCTTATTTGCCACAAAGTTGGGTGATCTCTCTCAAGGAAATTGTTTCTCAGTTACTGAAGGTTTTTGTTTTTTGTTTTTCATTTTAAACAGACATGGCAGGAGAAGAATTTTTTTTTTTTTTTTTTGAGAGATGGAGTCTTGCTCTGTCACCCAGGCTGGAGTGCAGTGGCGTGATCTTAGCTCACTGCAACATCTGCCTCCTGGGTTCAAGCGACTCCTGCCTCAGCTTCCCAAGTAGCTGGGACTAGACATGTGCACCACCATGCCCAGCTAATTTTTGTATTTTTTAGTAGAGGCGGGGTTTCACTATATGTTGGCCAGGCTGGTCTCAAACTCCTGACCTCAGGTGATCCTTGTGCCTCAGCCTCCCAAAGTGCTGGGATTATAGGCGTGAGTCGCCATGCCCAACGGAGAAAATTTTTATAATAAAGTCAACAGCTGCTTTCCTGGGCTTGCCCGAAGGCAAGTCCTGAAGCATGAAGGTAGCTGAGAGAAGAAGTCATGTGGGGAAAGTTGGTCTCAACTCAACTCTCTGGATTCTAACCCTGGCTTTGAAGCTGACTTTGTGGAGGGGTCTTGGGCAAGCAGCTCCACGTCCCTGACCCTCAGCTACCTTGTGAATAACCTGAGGAGACTGGATTAAGTGGTCTCTGTAATCCTTCGGGCACAGAAATTACTATCTGAGATCTCTTCTGAATTTCTGATTTTTGGCTTTGGATTGACTTAACAATAACTTTCAGAGACTCTCAGCACTGCTGGCCAACAAACAAAGGGTATGTAAGACTCTAAGCTGGGAGATTAATTCATGATAAAAACAAGTACCGCAGCAGGCTTCTAAGGCTAACAACTTGCTATCTGCCAACTGGAGCAACACCAACACAGAGGGTTTGCAGCATCCTCGGGTTGTTCACAATGTCTTGTCGAAAGCTTGGACTCATTTCTCTAACTTCTCTGAGCTCCCAGATGTGGTTTTGGTGTAGCTTTTACAATTCCAATGGAATCAGTTTCAGCAGGCTCAATAAATGGCCTTCCTGGCTTTGGTTATTACCACGAACTAGGAAAAGACAAACACTGCCCAAGACAGAAGGAAGCCAGGAAGCTTCTGGAACCCCAAGCTTAAAATATTATTAATGGAATTCATTGGGATGGGATAAAGTGATACAAGAAAAGATTTCTCCCCCATTTTGTTTCCTTTTTTATCTGAGCCTACTTTTAAGAAACTGGTATCTGTGGCATTATTGTGAAACCATGACCCTGCTACCCGTGATCAAAGTTTGGAAACTGGACTGGAAGACTGTAACTTTGAAAGTTACTGTGCAGTCTCCATTTTCCAGGTTGGAGCCTGTGTTCTTTCTAAATTGATTGGGAAAAGACCAGAATTGGCTTCATAGTGTTATTATGGTTCTGAACGCTGGCTGTACATTAAAATCACGTGGAGCTTTAAGAAAAAAAACAACCAAACCCATGCTGAAAGTTCATTCCAGGTCAATTATATTATGGTCTTTGGAAAATAAGGCCTAGGCACTGGGGATGATGAGTGGCAAGCTTGGAACTACAACCATTGCACCTGATGTGGAGGAATCTGTACATCTGTATTTAATCACCAGCCCCACCCCCAGGTGATCTTGATGTAAGATTAAGTTTGTGGGTCACAGATATAGCCTAAGGAAATAAGTAAAAGAATGGAAAAAGCTTCCGTCCAAAGATGTTTACCTCTCAGGATTATATGTAAGATAGCCAAGGCTGTCTCTAGAGCAGTCATGGCACATCACAAGAGCCTTCTGACCAGGGGGAGTTCAGAATGAACAACTGCCTTAAGCATGTTAATAAACCCAAGCAAAAAGGTCACTTACAAATTGGAGACCTGAGTAGGGAAAAACCACCCTATTGTTGAGACCCAGAAGACCTCTTAACAGCAGGAAAATATCTAGGCTCGTCTTTAAAACTTCATTTCTGTCTGGGACATTGAAGCATAAAATAGGTTTTCTGGGTAAATGACCATATCTGCCTTCCATTCCTAGCTGCTTTAGTTAAGACAGACTTGTTTTTATGAACCAAGTATCTACTCTTGCTTCTGGCCTTGGCACAGTTCTAATGGAGCATCCTGTCCCATCCACTTCAAACTATGGCTAGCCTAGAGATGCCAGCAGCTTCTGGAAGTGGTGCTGCTCCTGTCTGCTAGCCCAGAGGACACTAGAGTCTAGGTCTACAGAATATCTCTGATTAAAGCCACCCGCCTGCCGCTCCACACACAGCCAGGTCAGGAAGTTCTGACCTCAGGCAAGTGGTAAGCCCTGGGATCCTTACCTGCTTGCCTCGTTTTCCTGGTCTTCCCGTGGGTCCTCGGTGTCCTGCTATCCCAGGTTCACCTTTTGGACCCATTTCACCCTGGAAAGAAGGAAAGAGAAGCAAGAGAGGACTTAGGGCATGTGGAGTGGGCACATCTACACAGGTCTAGCTAGTCATGGGCTACGAGGGCAGTCTACTTGATCATTCCGAATCTATGCCAACTGGGCTGTCCTGGAAGGTTGGGAGAGTGATGAGGTCATGAGAAAGGCAGACATGTCTTTCAAGGAAGAGGAGGGAAGGAAGAAAGTAATTCTAAGTGGGTTATCTGTTACCTGAGAGGGACAGGTGTGGAGCAGCACACATTTTGATGGCCAAATAGGAGAGACAAATCATCACCCAGAACAGGCAGTGAGAGGCTGGGGCATCCAGCACAGCATGCCCGCGCTACTTACTACAAGTTGTCTGGGAAAACGCTTTCCTTCTAGTTGCAATTTTATGTTGTGTTTTCTTATGTGTTGTTTTTAGCACAAATTCAAATCTGGAAGCTTTTAAATGATTGGACACAGTTTTGCCAACTGTCATCTTTGGGAAGTTTCTACTCATTTAATGACTCTTCCTTAGGATTATGTGCTTGCCCACTCTTAGTAAGCACTGGTTTGAGTTCCAGCTCACTGCCATTTGATTTAGATGAAAGCTCTTTTGTGGGCAGAGATGTTCCAAACATATGTTCAGATATTCAATATAATTATTGAAAAAGGCATGGAGAACAATGGAAACAGTATACCTGTTTGTAAAGCTCTATGTTGAACTATCAAAACCCAATGTACTCATTGCAGAATTTCATAGTTTAAGGCCAATATTTCACAAAACCCCTTTCTCCATCTTAGTTTCTCTCCTTCTTCCCCATTTTCTTCTACATGGATTCCGGCCCCACTTACTGTTTCTTTGGGTCATGAACCCACAGGGCACTTCATTCCTATCTCCAGTAATCCCCCAACGGCCCAGAATGCACCGCCAACAAGAAAAATTTAGCAATAGCAACCATGAGTGTTAGTCAGCAGCCAGTTCCCATGAAGAGCTGCCCAGCCACTCAGAGAGAACAAAAAACACCCAGACACTTTTTCACGCGGCAGTCAGAGGAGGTATAACACAATGGAAAATTCCAGGGAATACCTGTATATGGAAAGGATCAAGCGTAAAGCTCTGAAATTATCTGTCAACTCAACCAGTGTGTCCCTACCCAAGCCACCAATGTCTTGTTTCACCAAGAATTGTCCTTAAATCTATGATTTCTTTCCAAACAACGCATCCTTCAACATTCTCCAGGGAAAGGGAGAGTGTGAGAGGATAGGATGGATGCTACATGGCCATGGAGATGTTTGCAGCTTTTCCCTGGCTGTTTAGAGAGGCTCAGGGATGTCTTTATGGCTGGAAGAAAACAGCAGCACAAGCGGCATTTTTTTTTTTTTTTTCAGGGATTGTCAGAAGGAAGTGTGGCCCTTCTCTACATTGGCTGGGAAGCAGTCAGGAATTTCTTGATCTAATTTCTCTCCCAAGACCTAATTGTGGTCATCACATCAGCTCTATCTTAAAACAGCCTGTCATAAAAGGGGAAGACAACTCTTCAGATGGGAAGTCTAGTAAATGGTGCAGAGGACAGAGAAGCTGCCATACTTAATTTTACAGTAATTTATTATTCTTTGACATTCACTGTTGCCCTGAATGAAAAGCTAATCTAAACATTTTTAAGTAAAACTGTTTTTCCTCTTTTAACATTTCCATTAATTTGCTTATATAATTAATTTTCTTTAAGTTACCTGAAATGGACTCCTTTTTTACTAAGCCTTGTCCCAAGCAGGATATCCGTTAAATATTTAACTATTTATTTATTCGTTGAGATAGGGTCTGCCTCTGTGGCCCAGGCTGGAGTGCAGTGGTGCAATTATGGCTTACTGCAGCTTTGACTCCTGGACTCAGTCCATCCTCCCGCCTCAGCTTCCTAAGCATCTGGCACTACAGATGCACACTACCACATTCAGCTAATGTTTTGTATATTTTTCTTGGTAGAAACGGGATTTCACCATGTTGCCCAGGCTAGTCTCAAACTCCTGGACTCAAGTCATCTGCCCACCTTGGCCTCCCAAAGTGCTGGGATTACAGGCATGAGGCACCATGCCTGGCCAATATTTAAACTATTTAAATACAAATTTAACTATTAAAAAATGTTAGCAGTCTTCAGTTCAAATACTTTTGTGTCCTTCTGGCAGTATGTGCATCGCCCTTGAAGAAGGACTGCAATAAGGCACAGTGACCTTAAGCTAAAGACACCCGTGCCTCACACTGGGGCGTGTGTGCTGAGAGGGGCTTTGACCCTTGTGGCTCAGATCTGAGTGCCTTGTGAGAAAGGTTTCTGCATTTGAATGGGACCACACCCCTCTAAGAGACAGGAAAAGCAAAAAAGCAAAAACAAACAAAAACCCAAAACCCAGATGGGTTGTCCTTTCCTTCCCATTGAGCTAGAGGGAGGCCCCAGACCATCCCGCCACCCTCTCCCCAGGGTGAAAAGCAACTTTCTTCCCATCCCAAACCAGAAGTTTCCATGGTTAAACCTACCATCCCTGCCTGATAGACAAGGAGGCAGAGCTCTTTTTGTTGTGCTTGGAGGACCTGATATTTTTACTGAGGTCTATTTTCACTACCTCAAGGTTACTTACTTTCTGCCCCAACATTCCAGGAAATCCTGGGAAACCCTGTGAAAAGAGCAACAAATACTGTGACTGCCTCCGAAATAACACCTGAAAAGGCTGTGGACAGGCTTGGTTGGTCGTTTTCAAGATAGAGGCCTGTCCATCAGTCCATCATCAGTCCACAGATAGGGGTGGGTGGGGGCTGCTACTTGCATTGACATTTATCATTTCTATGGAAAGGTTTTCTCCATTACCTTTTCTCCTTTGGGACCCAAGTCACCCTTTTCACCTCTGGATCCCTAGGAAGAAACCACAGGACAAAGCCAATGAGTTAATATCCTGGGAGGGAAATTCAAGCATTTCAAACTGAAAAGCTCCCTAAACCAAAACCCTCATTTTACAAGTGAAGAAATAGGCTCAGAGATATCAGGTGACTTGTCCAGGGAAGGAATGCTTTGTGATCAACTTCTTGTTGAACCCCAAAGACCTCTTACATTCATAAAGGAAACCTCACAGAAAATTCTGGGCCCCAAATCCTCTCTCATCCTGTAGGAAATTTGTCCACAGGTTGATGCTGGTTTTGATTTGGTTTTTGGCCAGGTCAGAAGGTTGTGTGGTGGAAGCTCGGCCTCAAGACATGCATCACCAATTTCCTCCAGCACTCCATGCAAACTGTGCTTGTTGTCCACCTGGCACGACCTTCATTTGCTTATGTGCTCCACATGAGGGGCCTCTTCCTCTATGGGGAGCCCTTCTCTTACCAGCTTGCCCTGCTTCAGGAGGTCCCTCACTTCTCTCTCAGTCCACTGACAAAGAGCGGGGAATAGCTAGGGATGGTGGCTTCAGTTGCAGACTAAAGAGAGACCTAGGCCCATCCTCTGCACGTCTCTGATTCCAGAGCCAGTAGCCCAGACCAGGCTCTGGGACACCATCCCAGAAAAGCACTAACCTTTTCCCCTCTGGATCCAGGGTAGCCCTAAAAGAAAGCAGAAGGTACATTTACAATCAGCCCTGTAGAACTTTTGAGTTTGGTGCAAGAATAGGAGGAATCCCTGACTGTGGTGGTAACGTGTGTCTCCACATTGCACTGTGAGTTTTAGTGGGGTTGCAGCACCAAACACAAAGATGTCCCAGAGGGTTGTGGTTATACCAGGCCTAAAAGGAGCATTGCTCTTATCACCCTGCAAAGGCCTGATCAAAGGTTTCCATCTGCTCTGATGTCCAGAAGCTTGGTTCTTCCTGCCCAAGAGAACAGCAGGAATGGCATTCCTATGCCCCTGCATCCCAGGGCATGATGTTCTCCAAAGGGCTGGTAAAGGCAGGCTCTCCAATATCCATGACATTCCCTAGTCCAGCATGGCAGCCCCACCCAGTCCCTATGTTTGTAGACAGCAGCTGCTCCAGAGTCTTACAGAGAAGATCTGGGAACGTCCATCCAGACCACACACTGACCTTGGAGCCCATTGGTCCTCTTGACCCTGGCAAGCCCATCATACCCAGGTCACCTTTTTCACCCTGTGCGAATTAGAAGATAAAGAAAAGACCCATGATGATATTTTTTAGAGAAACTGAACCAGGAGAGTCACAGGCAAGATTGGGAAGGAACTGGGGATATTAGGGCTGGCTTGTAAATCTGAGGACCCCAGTTGCACCCACTGTCTCCCTCCCAGGGTCTCAAAGCTTCATACTCCACATTCATTCTTGTGTTTAAGATTAAACATAAAATGAAAATGCCCAAGGTGAAGCAGATCGCCACACCAGCTGCTCACTAAGATGTTGTATATGGTCATACTTGGTATTTTCCTAGCGAGGATAGTGAGAGAGTAGTGGAGGAGGCATGAGGGAACTGGGGCCTCAGAAAACAAGGTGTCAACACATGCAAAAAACATTGCCTGCTTTGCTCTTCGCATAGGAAGGGTCCTCAGAATGACTTGTGGTTGGGACTTCCAGCACCCACCCTCTGTACTAAAAATACTCTATACCAGTACTAACCAATAGAAATATAAGGTGAGCCACATACTTAATTTAAAACTTTTAAAAGAAGTCACCTTAAGGAAAACTAAACGAATGAAGTTAATTTTAATAGATCTCCTTTAATCTAATTAATCTAATCATCCCAACTTGTAATCTATATAAAAATTATTGAGATATTTTACATTGTGTTTTTCATAATAAGTATTTGAAATCTGCTGTGTAATTTACATGTACATATCTCCATTCAGGTGCTAAATTTTCATCCAAAATATTTGATCTGTATTTAGAGATCGTAACATTTATAGTTGAAAAAGCAGATTCATACATTCAAGTTGCTCCAAAAATACTTTAACATTTTCAAATAACTGAATTTAGTAAAGGTTAAAATTTAAACAGTGAAAATTTAAAAACTCAGTTCCGCAGTAGCACTAGCAACATTCCACAGACTTGAGGGTCACATGTGGCCACTGGCTGCTGTGCAGGACAGCTCAGCTCTATGCAGAGGATTTTGAAAACATCCTTGGGACTTTTCCTAAGAGGACTGGAAACACAGTTTTCCGCTGCCATAATATAGCCAATAAATGAATCAGAGCAGATGGTGAGATCCACCTGCCCAGCTCTGACTTCTGCAGATAAAACTCCGAGCCATGCCTCTGAACTCTCTAGTCTATGACTACCAGTGAGAAAAACAGAGGCACAGATGGGGATGTGCTTGCTTTCCGTAGCCTGACTGAGGAAGGAGATTTCATCAGCACTCAGCAATCCCTCTCTGAATGTAGGATTTCCATCCTTCAGCCAGCCGACACCACCCACTCAACTCTCCATTCCCTGCCAGGTCAGCATGACAGGCAAGAGCTTCCCAGACACAAACCCCTCTTAGGTCATCTCAGGGAAACCAGAGTGGGGTGCTAGTTCCTAGGACAAAGGAGAACCAGAGCCCCTGTAGAAAAGGGGATCAGGCCCCTATTTCTCCTCCCACAGAAGCACAGCTGTTGCACTGACCAAGGTCTTGCAGGCCAAGTGAAGGAGGAAATATCAGGGGCCCTTAAGCTCTCTTCTTCTTCCCCCTCTTGAAGAAGGGATTCCCTGACTATGTGCCAGGAGCCAGGAAAGCTGCCGTCTTCCCCACTCTTGTTTTGATACCACATGAGCCCTGAAAGCATGCCACACTTACCCTGGGTCCTTCAGGGCCTGGCCAACCGATGGGCCCAGGCATGCCAGGAACACCTGGGGGGCCAGGTCTACCCTTCAAAGACCAAGAACAAAAGTCAGGGCAATTGGGTTTGTTTCTTTACTTCTAATAAATATGTCTTGTCTCTGGGGCCCAGAGGAGAGAGTGGAGTCTCTAAACATGGCTACTATGACCTTCATCCCCACTCTCCAAAGACTGATGGCCTGACAAGCCCTTGGTGTCACACTGTATCACCAAACAAGACCTTATTCTTCTCAAGAAATGGAGAGTGGTGAGAAAGGGATTCTAAACTTGGATTTTCAATTTTTATCACTTCTACCCACCCCCACCCAAAAGTCCCCTGCGTTCCAATGGGTTATTCCCAAGGATGTGCTATGGAACGAGATAGGATTACATTTGGGGAACAATAGCAGATGCTATCAGCACTCTTTCAAGGTCTTTTTGACCAACTCAGAGTGCCCATCGCCCAGAAGCTAACAGTTCATTTCTGCAACCTGTAACTGCGGTTTGCCCTTGAGCAGTTGGAGCTGCCCAGTAATTTATGTAACTCCCCTTCCTGCAGCCAATAGCCCAGCTCCCTTAACTTTGGGCAGTTCACACTCTCAAGCTCCCCCTAGGGAATCAGACTGCTAAAGCTGGACTTCACCTGATACCACACCCTTGCCTGGCTTCTCCCATTCCCTCTACAGGCTCCTCCCGAGTGGTCCCATAATAACGTATTCACTTGCACATGGTACATGTCACCTCTGCCTCTGCCTAAGCCAGGGCTATGGAAGAGCAAGCCCTGCAAGAGACAGTGGGTGCAGGTGCTAAGGGCCTATCTTGACCTTGTGCCCATTAGCTAATTTCACTGTTAGCCAGAGATGTGAAGGGCTCAGCCCCTAACCCAGACATGCCAAATGCTGGCATGTGTACTGGTTTCTACTGTTGCCTCCCACATAACCATGGCACACATCACTAATCAATCATAGCCCTTGTTAGGCCTGAGCATGGACACCACAGCAGAATATCCTTTGACCATTGCCATGGAGACCAGCCCAGCACTTCAGACAGCCGCTGTGCCTTGGCTATAGTTTTCATCTGTGCCCTAAAGAGTTGTAACTTTGTCTTGCAAAACTCTGTTTAAGGAATTTGCGGACAATGAAACCATTTAATAAACCATTTAACAAGAAATACAGTAATTTATATTTAGAGCCATGGATATCTTTCTTGGCCAGAGTTTTGCACCCCTGTCTATAATCAAGACCTAGAAATTCGGTGCCAGTATCCACTGACCTCAGCAAATACAATAGGCTGCTGATTTACTCCCTCTTGACACTAATGAGAGCCTTGATAACATGTGTTTGGTTCACTCAGAGTCACTGTGACCTTAAGTAACCTCCATTTATTTCAGCTGAGCCAAAAAGCAAAAGCCATTTGTTTCTGTCTGCTCTGGCACTTTATTCAAATTTAATCAAATAGACAGTGAGAGTCATTCTGTGTCACTGGTTGGAGCTATGAAGGGTTTCTCTGATGGGTAGCAGAATGAGATGGTCTGGGGTTGGGATGGGAAGTGAGAGGGGTGGAATTTGGCCAGGCCTGGCAGCCCCTGGAAGAAGTCTGAATGCCTGGCAGTAGCAGGCTCCTGCTCCTGAACAAAGAAGTTGACAGAAAGGGCGAGGTTACTACTGTCACCATCGAGACGGCAGCACCCTCACTGTCCACCTGCATCGAGACGGCAGCACCCTTGCTGTCCACCCGGGTATCAGTGGCCACTGAAGTGCACTGCTGGTCCCCCATCCCTAGGAGCGCATGCACACACATGCATGTGGAGCACAGACGCCCATGTGACACTCACAGAACAGTGCAGACCATACCTTCCTTCCTGGTCGGCCAAGCTCCCCCTATGGACGGAGAAGACAGGTAAGGAGAGGCTGCTTTGGAAGAGATGTTCCGGAAGCAGAAGGCTTAGTAGAGCTGATGACTGGGCATGGCCATGTGGTTCAGCTGCTTGGCTGCTGCTCACAGCCCCACTGCCATGTCAGTGGGCTATGTCAAAATACACCAGTGGTATCTCATAGGTGCTGCAGCAGCTCAGCCATCATGAAGCCCAGCCTCCCACACCAAAGCACATGTTTGGAAATCTCAACTGGGAAATTCTCAGTGGGATGCCCAGAAAACAGGCTGGAATTACCAAGAAAAGAAGGGTTGAAGAAAGTAGTGGTTCGGTTCATACCTTTTCTCCCTTTGGTCCTGTCTTGCCAGGAAGCCCCGGTGGACCCTAATCAATCAAGATAAAAAAGTGAAGAAAGTATGTATCAGTCCGAAGCTGTATGGGTGGGGAGGCTCTTGGTGCACTGGGCTCCTACAGCAGCAACCTCATTCTCTGGGAATATGTAGGATTCCAGGGACCCATGGAGGCTCTTCCTGTGCCCTCCAGCCCAGTCCCCTCCTCTGTTCTTCCTCCTGTTTAGCTTTCTCTGAGCTGTGTTTCCAGTGGCTCCATGGTTGCAATGCTTATATATCTACTCTCTGTGGTTTTAATTTTCTCCCTGTAACTCTTTGTTTGCCTAAAACATCCCAAGTGCTTATTGAAAGCAACCAAAGTGTCTTGAATAAATCCCACTTGCTGAAAACAAGAGGCTCCATCACCTCTCATGTCTTTTCAGTTACTCTTGCCAAACTTTCCCGGGGGCCTGACAAGAGACAAGTTAAGTTTTGCACATAGCAGCAGCTGCCACCTTGGAAATTCCCATGCTCAATTTGTGGGTACTAGGTGCCAAATAATTTTTGCCTTTCTTCAGCAGGAAAAAAGTCTTCTTTTTTAAGACACTAAGAATGTTGGCAAGTAAAGAGTGCATTTTTGTCCACTGAAGAGGAGTCCACTGACTCCAGCTCAGGGACCTTACAACTCACTGCATCAAAGCTTTGCACATCCACAGCCAGAATGTGCCTGCAAAATGCTCAGTCATCTATTTTCCAGATTCTCCAGAACAGCAGAGAGGAAATTCATCAAAATTCCCCAGGCCCCAACAGCACCCCCAGGATCTGCAGGTGAACATGCAAAATGCAAAGCCTGTTTGAAACATGATTTCTTTTTTATTTTATTTTTTATTATACTTTAAGTTCTAGGGTACATGTGCACAACGTGCAGGTTTGTTACATATGTATACATGTGCCATGCTGGTGTGCTGCACCCATTAACTCGTCATTTACATTAGGTATATCTCCTAATGCTATCCTTCCCCCTCTCCCCCAACCCCACGACAGGCCGCGGTGTGTGATGTTCCCCTTCCTGTGTCCAAGTGTTCTCATTGTTCAATTCCCACCTATGAGTGAGAACATACGGTGTTTGGTTTTCTGTCCTTGCGATAGTTTGCTCAGAATGATGGTTTCCAGCTTCATCCATGTCCCTACAAAGGACACGAACTCATCCTTTTTTATGGCTGCATAGTATTCCATGGTGTATATGTGCCACATTTTCTTAAACCAGTCTATCATTGCTGGACATTTGGATTGGTTCCAAGTCTTTGCTATTATGAATAGTGCTGCAATAAACATATGTGTGCATGATTTAAACATATGTGTGCAAGTCTTTAATCTATCTTGAATTAATTTTTGTATAAGGTGTAAGGAAGGGATCCAGTTTCAGCTTTCTACATATGGCTAGCCAGTTTTCCCAGCACCATTTATTAAATAGGGAATCCTTTCCCCATTTCTTGTTTTTGTCAGGTTTGTCAAAGATCAGATGGTTGTAGATGTGTGGTATTATTTTTGAGGGCTCTGTTCTTTTCCATTGGTCTGTACCTCTGTTTTGGTACCATACCATGCTGTTTTGGTTACTGTAGCCTTGTAGTATAGTTTGAAGTCAGGTAGTGCGATGCCTCCAGCTTTGTTCTTTTGGCTTAGGATTGTCTTGGCAATGTGGGCTCTTTTTTGGTTCCATATGAACTTTAAAGCAGTTTTTTCCAGTTCTGTGAAGAAAGTCATTGGTAGCTTGATGGGGATGGCATTGAATCTATAAATTACCTTGGGCAGTATGGCCATTTTCATGATATTGATTCTTCCTATCCATGAGCATGGAATGTTCTTCCATTTGTTTGTGACCTCTTTTATTTCGTTGAGCAGTGGTTTGTAGTTCTCCTTGAAGAGGTCCTTCACATCCCTTGTAAGGCGGATTCGTAGGTATTTTATTCTCTTTGAAGCAATTGTGAATGGGAGTTCACTCATGATTTGGCTCTCTGTCTGTTATTGGTGTATAGGAATGCCTGTAATTTTTGAACATTGATTTTGTATCCTGAGACTTTGCTGAAGTTACTTATCAGTTTAAGGAGATTTTGGGCTGAGATGATGGGGTTTTCTAAATATAAAATAATGTCATCTGCAAACAGGGACAATTTGACTTCCTCTTTTCCTAATTGAATACCCTTTATTTCTTTCTCCTGCCTGATTGCCCTGGCCAGAACTTCCAACACTATGTTGAATAGGAGTGGTGAGAGAGGGCATCCCTGTCTTGCACCAGTTTTCAAAGGGAATGCTTCCAGTTTTTGCCCATTCAGTATGACATTGGCTGTGAATTTGTCATTAATAGTTCTTATTATTTTGAGATACATCCCCTCAATACCTAGTTTATTGAGAGTTTTTAGCATGAAGGGCTGTTAAATTTTGTCAAAGGACTTTTCTGTATCTATGGAGACAATCATGTGGTTTTTGTCTTTGGTTCTGTTTATACGACGGATTATGTCTATTGATTTGCATATGTTGAACCAGCATTGCATTCCAGGGATGAAGCCATGTGATCATGGTAGATAAGCTTTTTGATGTGCTGCTGGATTCGGTTTGCCAGTATTTTATTGAGGATTTTTGCATCGATGTTCATCAGGGATATTGGTCTAAAATTCTCTTTTTTTGTTGTGTCTCTGCCAGGCTTTGGTATCAGGATGATGTTGGCCTCATAAAATGAGTTAGGGAGGATTCTCTCTTTTTCTATTGATTGGAATAGTTTCAGAAGGAATGGTACCAGGTCCTCTTTGTAACTCTGGTAGAATTTGGCTGTGAATCCATCTGGTCCTGGACTTTTTTTGGTTGGTAGGCTATTAATTATTGCCTCAATTTCAGAGCCTGTCATTGGTCTATTCAAGGATTCACCTTCTTCCTGGTTTAGTCTTGGGAGGGTGTATGTGTCCAGGAATTTATCCATTTCTTCTAGATTTTCTAGTTTATTTGCATAGAGGTGTTTATAGTATTCTCTGATGGTAGTTTGTATTTTTGTGGGATTCGTGGTGATATCCCCTTTACCATTTTTTATTGCATCTATTTGATTCTTCTCTCTTGTACATTAGTCTTGCTAGCGCTCTATCAATTTTGTTGATCTTTTCAAAAAACCAGGTCCTGATTCACTGATTTTTTGAAGGTTTTTTTGTGTGTGTGTGTCTCTATCTCCTTCAGTTCTGCTCTGATCTTAGTTATTTCTTGCCTTCTGCTAGCTTGTGAATGTGTTTGCTCTTGCTTCTCTACTTTCATGATGTTAGGGTGTCAGTTTTAGATCTTTCCTGCTTTCTCTTGTGGGCATTTAGTGCTATAAATTTCCCTCTCCACACTGCTTTAAATGTCTCCCAGAGATTCTGGTATGTTGTGTCTTTGTTCTCATTGGTTTCAAAGAACATCATTATTTTTGCCTTCATTTCATTATGTATCCAGTAGTCTTTCCGGAGCAGGTTGTTCAGTTTCCATGTAGTTGAGTGGTTTTGACTGAGTTTCTTAATCCTGAGTTCTAGTTTGATTGCACTGTGGTCTGAGAGACAGTTTGTTATAATTTCTGTTCTTTTACATTTGCTGAGGAGTGCTTTACTTCCAACTATGTGGTCACTTTTGGAATAAGTGCGATGTGGAGCTGAGAATGTATATTCTGTTGATTTGGAGTGGAGAGTTCTGTAGATGTCTATCAAGTCTGCTTGGTGCAGAGCTGAGTTCAATTCCTGGATATTCTTGTTAACTTTCTGTCTTGTTGATCTGTCTAATGTTGACAGTGGGGTGTTAAAGTCTTCTGTTATCATTGTGTGGGAGTCTAAGTCTCTTTGTACGTCTCTAAGGACTTACTTTGTGAATCTGGGTGCTCCTGTATTGGGTGTATATATATTTAGGATAGTTAGCTCTTCTTGTTGAGTTGATCCCTTTACCATTATGTAATGGCCTTCTTTGTCTCTTTTGATATTTGTTGGTTTAAAGTCTGTTTTATCAGAGACTAGGATTGCAATCCTTGCTTTTTTTTGTTTTCCATTTGCTTGGTAGATCTTCCTGCATCCCTTTATTTTGAGTCTATGTGTGCCTCCTGAATACAGCAAACTGATGGGTCTTGACTCTTTATCCAATTTGCCAGTCTGTGTCTTTTAATTGGAGCATTTAGCCCATTTACATTTAAGGTTAATACTGTTATGTGTGAATTTGATCCTCTCTTATGATGTTAGCTGGTTATTTTGCTCATTAGTTGATGCGGTTTATTCATAGTGTTGATGGTCTTTACAGTTTGGTATGATTTTGTGGTGGCTGGTACCGACTGTTCATGTTTAGTGCTTCCTTCAGGAGCTCTTGTAAGGCAGGCCTGCTGGTGACAAAATCTCTCAGCATTTGTTTGTCTGTAAAGGATTTTATTTCTCCTTCACTTACGAAGCTTAGTTTGGCTGGATATGAAATTCTGGGTTGAAAATTCTTTTCTTTATTAAATATTGGCCCCCACTGTCTTCTGGCTTGTAGAGTTTCTGCCAAGAGATCTGCTGTTAGTCTGATGGGCTTCCCTTTGTGGGTAACCCGACCTTTCTCTCTGGCTGCCCTTAACATTTTTTCCTTGATTTCAACTTTGCTGAATCTGATAATTAAGTGTCTTAGAGTTGCTCTTCTTGAGGAGCATCTTTGTGGCATTCTCTGTATTTCCTGAATTTGAATGTTGGCCTGCCTTGCTAGGATGGGGAAGTTCTACTGGATAATATCCTGAAGTGTATTTTCCAACTTGATTCCATTCTCCCTGTCACTTTCAGGTACACCAATCAGACATAGATTTGGTCTTTTCACATAGTCCCATATTTCTTGGAGGCTTTGTTCATTTCTTTTTACTCTTTTTCTCTAAACTTCTCTTCTCGCTTCATTTCATTCATTTGACTTCAATCACTGATACCCTTCCTTCCACTTGATCGAATTGGCTGCTGAAGCTTCTGCATGCATCACGTAGTTCTTGTGCCATGGTTTTCAGCTCCATCAGGTCATTTAAGGTCTTCTCTATGCTGTTTATTCTAGTTAGCCATTCATCTAATCTTTTTTCAAGGTTTTTAGCATATTTGCGATGGGTTCAAACATCCTCCTTTAGCTCAGAGTAGTTTGTTATTACCAATTGTCCGAAGACTTCTTCTCTCAACTCATCAAAGTCATTCTCCGTCCGGCTTTGTTCCATTGCTGGCGAGGAACTGCATTCCTTTGGAGGAGAAGAGGTGCTCTGATTTTTAGAATTTTCAGCTTTTCTGCTCTGGTTTCTCCCTATCTTTGTGGTTTTATCTACCTTTGGTCTTTGATGATGGTGATGTACAGATGGGATTTTGGTGTGGATGTCCTTTCTGTTTGTTAGTTTTCCTTCTAACAGTCAGGACCCTCAGCTGCAGGTCTGTTGGAATTTGCTGGAAGTCCATTCCAGATCCTGTTTGCCTGGGTATCACCAGCAGAGGCTGCAGAACAGCAAATATTGCAGAATGGCAAATGTTACTGCCTGATCCTTCCTCTGGAAGCTTCATTTCAGAGGGGCACCTAGCTGTATGAGGTGTCAGTCAGCCCCTACTGGGAGGTGTCTCCCAGTTAGGCTACTTGGAGGTCAGGGACCCACTCGAGGAGGCAGTCTGTCCGTTTTCAGATCTCAAACTCCATGCTAGGAGAACCACTACTCTCTTCAAAACTCAGTTGGAAATGCAGAAATCACCCATCTTCTGCATCACTCATGCTGGGAGCTGTAGACTGGAGCTGTTCCTATTCAGCCATCTTGGAACCTCCCTCCCTGAAATATGATTTCTATAAAACTTGTCCAAATAACAACAGCTCCCCTCAGCCCGTGGTTCCCAAGTCTATCAGCATATTACAATTCTCTGGAGATGTTTGAAAAATCCCAAAGCCCAGGCCCCAACCCAGCCCAATTAAATAACAACCTCAGTCTGGGTGGGGTGGCTTATGCCTATAATCTCAGCACCGTGGGAGGCCAATGTGGGAGGATTGCTTGAGCCCAGGAGTTTGAGACCAACCTGGTCAATGTGGTGAGACCCTGTCTCTACAAAATATTAAGAAATTAGCCAGGCATGATGGCATGTGCACCTGTGGTTCCACCTCCTGTGGGAGGCTGATGTAGGAGGCTCACTTAAGCCTGGGAAGTGGAGGCTGCAATTAGCTGCGATCAAGTCACTGCACTCTAACCTAGGTGGCACAGTGAGACCCTCTCTTTAATTATAATAATGATAATAATAATAAATACCAATCTCAGGGGAGGAGGAACAAGCATCGGTAATTTTTGAAGCTCCCCCAGGGAATTGTAATATGTAGATAAGTTTGAGAACCACTATCTTTGGTTTCTTCACCTTCTATTTTTGGATAGGGAAGAGGGGGATTTTCATTCCATTCTCTTGATTCTTCCAAGCCTTAGTCCTTTCTGTTTCTTGAAGTGGACTAGAACTATTTCACAAGGTCATTGTACTCTAGCTGATTGCCTCTCCAACTTTAATGTGCAGATGACTTACTCCATTCACTTGGTGGAGGGGCAGTATCTTGTTAGAACGCAGATTCTGATAGAATGAATTTGTCAGGGGGATGAGATTCTGCATTTCTAACCAGCTCCCATATGATACCAATGTTGCTGTTTCACAGACCTCACTTTGAGTAGGGACAGCATCCACACTGTGTTCTAAGGACATGAAGGTGGCTACACAGGACCCTGCAGTTGGGCAACACAGCCTCCAGGTGCCTCAAAGGGGATTGCACGAGGTTACAGATGTGTGTGACCAGAGAGCCACTGTCCTGAGGTCAGCAGAAAGTCCCGCTTTTCTTTTCTATATTCCATGGGTTCTAGCATGCCTGAGACCTGTTAGAGTAGACTGGCGGAAGGTGGGAAGATAGAAATGCACCTCCAAGGATTCTCATCTTGCTTTTCTGCAGGTTTCCCAGCTTCTCTGTGTCAGCCTCTGGCCAACTCTGGGTTCAAACTCCTGTTTTTTTTCTTGTATCCAACAAGTAATTATGGAGAACCTATCCCGACCCCGTGCACTGTTGTAGACGGGCAATATAATAGTGAGCGAGATGGACAATGTCTCTGTTCCCGCAGACCAAGGCTTGACACATGTTTTCTTTAGAAGGTTACATTGTCAGTATCTTAGGCTTTGTGGGTCACATTTGGTCTCTGTCACAACTACTCAACTCTGCCTTTGTCGTGCAAAAGCAGCCACAGACAATAAAACTTCAACGTTTTATTGAAACTTTGCTGCAGGATTTGATCCACAGATATAGTTTGCCAACCCCGGCCATTGAGCTTACGTTTTACAGAGGGGAGACCAGGAACAGAAAAACAAATAAGAAAATCATAATAGGATGAGAAAATCATGCAGAGAATTAAAATAGGTCATTGTGGCAGAGAGTGATTGTGGTGGTGGGTATGGGCAGGAGACTACTTTAGACTAAGTGGTTGAGTGGGTGTTAGAAGAAGGCACTTCTAAGAGGCATGGAAGGTGGAATGGAAGCTGAGTACTGAGTGGCCAACAGGAGCTGGCCATGATCAAAACCAGAAAGAAGAACATTCCAAATAGCAGGAACCACAAGTGCAAAGGCCCTGTGGCTAAAGCAAGTTTGGAGTGTTTGAGAACCTGAGAGATGGTCACTGTGGCTGAGTCAAGGAGACAATGGAGGTAGGAAGTGACATAGGAGATACAGGCTGGAGTCCGCTCCTGTGGAGCTTTGTAATCCAGGTGAGCCTTCAAGTGTCCAAAGAAGCCACACAAGGGTTTACCCAGGTGGGTGATATCACTTTTATGCCCCCTGCATGGGAAGGCACTTGGGGAACTGCTCCTTACACCCTCTTTCTCCTCCCCACGGAAGGCTCAGGCCCAGCTGTCCCTCACCGATGGAGCACCCTCTTGGAGGCAGGCCAGAGGGGTCAGGAGTCTGTGGGGTGGGGTTTCTGGAGGGTACTCTTGTTTGTCTAGAAATCCTTTCTCCAGCATTTTGCCTATTTCTCACTCTCCCCTTTAGCTTTGGTGGGCAGGGGCGGGCTACTTGGTAGCAACACCTGGGGGCCCAGTGAGGCAGGAAACAATCTCCTCTGCGCCTCCACTTCCCTGTGCTGAACGCAGGCAGCTCTGGTCCACAGGAGGGGTCAATGGTTACATAAGGGGCACCATCATCAAGTGTTTGTCTGATTGTAACTAATACAAACCATATCCATAGAGGTGGCATCCTCATTTGATTCCCCCAAAATTCAGTACTGTAGGGACAATTATTATCCCCATTACATAGATGAGGAAATCAAGGCCGGGAGGCCAGAATTTACCCAGCAAAGAGCCAGTGTTCTATCCATGTGGCTTTGGAGCAGGGAGTTAGCGAGAGAAGGAAAAACAGCTTTGTATCATATGAGAAGGAGCAGACACTAAGAGGCTCTGTGCAGTGGGCTTTCCTGCTCTAAACAGAAGACAGCAAGAGGGGTCCGGTAGAGTGCACCAACCTGGGGGCCGGGAGGCCCAGGGGAGCCTAGCGAGCCTTGCATGCACGGGGACTGCGAGGTCTCCAGTTCCAGGATGAGATTCTTCATGTCTGGGGAGAGAAGCTTCAGTACAAAGCAACACAGAGTTAGAGGTCAGGCGTAGGGGACAGAGGAAGGGTCACCATCCTGGACACAGACCTGCTCTGGGTTCAGGTCTCTAAGCCTGGCAGTTCCCTGACACCCCAATGACTGCCCCAAGAAGATGACATCTTGGGCTACTAGTTTCTGTTCTCTCATCTGCTCTTGAGACAACCTGGCTTGTGTGAATTACAGACACCTCGCAGCCACTTTGGATAGAGTTAGGAAGCTCATTTCAGGGGCCTCTATCCAATGTCTAGGTTGGCACTGTCCAGTGGAAACATAACTAACGTGAGCCACTGATAAGAGTAACATTGTAATTTTAAATTGTCTAGTAGTCACATTTTTAACTTTCAAGAAGGTAAAAGGAAAAAAGTGAAATTAATTTTAATAATATATTTTAACCCAACAAAACCCAAATATTATCATTTTAACATATATTCAGTATTAGAAAGTTAACTGAGACAGTTTACATTCTTTTTTCATACTAATTCTTTCAAAATCCAGTGTGTATTTTACACTTACAGTACATCTCAGCTTGAACTAGCCACATTGCAAGTGCCAGATAGCTACATATGGCTAGTGGCTCCTGAACTGGACAGCACAGATGAAACAGCGTTGGGAAAGAGCTGAGAATCCCAAGTTCCCAGAATGCCCTGGCTGCTGCCTTCTAGGCCAGTTTCCCGAATCTTGCTCTTTTCCTCACCTTGTCCTTTCTTTCCAAATTCTGCTCCCTCTCACACCTCAGTGTGGCTACAGGAGAACTATTTCCTGAATCACCTCATGGAAATGGTCTGTGTTAGACACGGGCTGCGGAAGGGAATTTCATAAACACTTGGGGAGAAGAAAAACAGAAGGGGAAATTCCATATTTGAGCAGCTGATGGGAACCCAGGAAGTTACATTATAAATTCACCTCGTGGTTTTTGAGAAGATGAGAAACTTTGCCAAATCCAATTCCTGCCGAGAAGAATCTCCCTCCCTCCATCATTTATTTGAGATATTTGGAGAATGGACACACCCCAGGAACTGCAAAATGTCCATTCCAGGGCTCAACCTCTGGGTGACCGTGGAGGGTTGAGGCTCTCACAAGATTCCAGAGGCAGCTCAGGTGAAGTGGGGCAGGCAGGCAGGGCTGTGTGGTGTGCAAATGAGTAGCCTGCATTTTTTTTTTCCTCTCATAAATCCCAAAGTACTCACCGGACTTCGGCCACCTCTGAAGAATGGTGGTGGGAACAGTGGTGGTGGAGGGGGCGTCAGCAGGCAGCATGCTTTGTGGCCACCACGCTTCTTCTGATCCAGGCCAGGAAGGGCTATTCAGAGAAAACTGCTGCTCGTTAGCATGTGGTCAGTGCTGGGGCTTCTGTCACACCCACCGTGCCCAGGGAAGACCCATCTGCCACCCCAGACTTCCAAATCCTAATTTCTAGCCTGTTGGATGTGGGTGGGCCTCCTGTCAGCTACTTGACATAGCAATTATGCCCTTGCCCTTGCCTTTGCTGGATTAAGATGGTTCATAAAGAAGCAGATAACTTATCTGGACACTGTGATCATTATAAGGTTCATTTCTCCTTCCTCGGATACTGACTTGTTACTTTGTAGATGTAGCAAGAAATGCAAAGTTCAAAAAGACTCATCACATGCCCTCAGAAGTTGAGGAGAAGAAAGTGCTTGCTAATGACTTTAATATTGTACTCAGAAGGAAATTGTTCAGACAGGGAGGCAGCCAGGGCCGGTGGCAGCATTACTTACAGGACACCCACACCCATGATTTAAAACACATATATTGACTCTAGACTTTACAAACACATTCACGTGTCACTCATGTCACTGGAGAATTACGGTTTAATGTCTCAGTATATGGGTAGCCTAATCCACAGTGTCAGGAAATGAAGGGAGGGCCCTGAACCTTTGTAGCTTAATTTTTACAAAAAGTCTCATCCATGTTCAATGTTAGTAAATGTTCAATGTTGAAGTATGCCTTACAAAAAGTACACAGATCAATAAGTTACAGCCCAATAAATCTCCACAAGGTGGACGAATCCTAGAAACCAGCACCCAGGTCAACAAACAGCATCCCCCAGCGCCCAGAAGCTCCTTCAAGCTCCAATCTCTGCACCCCTTCCCATCCTGAATTCTAACACCAGAGACTCATTTTGACTAATCTTGCACTTTATGTAAATGGAATCACACAATATGAACTCTTATCTTTGGTTTCTCTCTCTTAACATGTTGTCTATGGGAATCATCTAGGTTGTTGTTTATCATTGTTACTACTGAATAGAGTCCCACTGAGCGACTATATCACAACCTGCTCATCCATTCTGCTGAACATTGCTGATGTTCATTGGGTTGATACAACTACACATCCACCAGAATGGCTAAAATGAAAAGGACAGAATATAAGAAATGTGGTAAGGATGTGGAACAACCACAACTATCACATTAGCTGGCCAGAATGTAAACCAATGCAACCTCTGGAAAATTGCTTGTTATCTTCTATTAAAGCTGAACATAGACATACACTTTAGCCCAGCAATTTCACTCCTAGGTTTTTGCCAATAGAAAAGTGGGTATATCCGGGATCATGATTGCAAGTGATCTTTAAAATTTCAGGTTCTGATTCCAAGCTTGAATCTCCTCCCCAGTATCTCTGAATGATGTGCATTGGCCAGAACCATATATGTGTTCTCTGGTGTTTGCACTGACACAGCCCTGATTTGTGTCCCTACCTAATGAATCCAGTGGGAATTACTGCAAATGTTTCAAGATAAACTTTTTAGTTAAGAGCCAGCTTGAATGGTTATAGTTTTTTTTAATACCAACAAGTAAACATTTCTCTTGAAATGGCCCTGAAAAAAAAGTGGGTGTATTTTCCCCAAAATGCATGTACTAAAATGTTCATAGCAGCAATATCCATAATCACCGAAAGCTATGGTTTTTCAGTTCTCAGTTTTGGTGTCACGATGTACCTTCACTTCCACCCCTTCACAATACCTCTGACCTCACAGAACACGCGCGCCAGGTTGACCACCACATGCTCTCAGTCCTGAATCCAGTTTTCTGTCTTATCTCCCAGGGGCCAGCATCTGCCAACCATCTCCACCTTGTGCTCCAGGACCTACCTCAGACACCAGACAAGTGCTGAGTGCTCCCCAGAAGTCGCCAGGTCGTGCGGTGTCCACAGGAATGGTGGCTCTGTGCACACACACTCCCTAGCACCCTTGATGATGAAGCATTCCACTGGCCTGTGCCAAAGGCCCTCAGCCCTCTCAGGCCCAATGCAGCCTTTTATGGGAAATATTGTGTAAAGACACCTTTATTATCTGGAAATGAAATTCATAAATAATACAGCACACTGACACACGATTTAAAAAATCAATATCATGCTCTTAATTCTACATAAAAGAAAAATATAAGAAAGTGATGTATGGGCCAGATGTAGTGGCTCATGCCTGTAATCCCAGTACTTTGGGAGGCCGAGGCGGGCAGATCACGAGGTCAAGAGATCGAGACCATCCTGGTCAACATGGTGAAACCCCATCTCTACTAAAAATACAAAAATTAGCTGAGCATGGTGGTGCGTGCCTGTAGTCCTAGCTACTCAGGAGGCTGAGGCAGGAGAATTGCTTGAACCTGGGAGGTGGAGGTTGCAGTGAGCTGAGATTGCACCACTGTACTCCAACCTGGCAACAGAGCAAGACTCCATCTCAAAAAATAAAAGAAAAAAAGAAAAAAAAAGTGACTTATGATATAAAAGTAAACATTTTGATTATAAGTGGTCAGACACAATATTAGAATACATAATGCTGTAGTTTGATGCTTGCACTTAATGTGAAATCACAGTGAATGCAACAGCTCAAATACAGATTATGGTATTGGCAACTCCCATGCTACAAGGAATGTGTCCACCATATGATGTGATTTTCTGAAATAATAAATAACACTGGGTAAAATTTCTGACTAGACAAAGCACAACCATTACTCTGTAATTGTAGTCTGAGAAAGCTCAATTTATATTACAACAGTGCTTTAAAAATGCTGTGTAAAAGAGAATTCAGTTATAGAATGAGGTAATTATATATAAGTATGAATGTTCCTTGGGACATTTCAAAGTCACGTAGGATGTGGGACAATTCTGTCTCACCCTTTGCAAGATAGCTCTCACTCCTGACCCGGCTCAACAAACACAGTGGTGCTACCCATCCCAGCCTTTGAAACAACCAAAAATACCTTGAAAATTTCCAAAACGGCCCCAATGAAAACTGTTGGCCTATCTAATGCTTGGTGCTTATCTTGGTCACAAAAAGTTCCATAGAACCCAGCACCCAACGCCAAAGCAGCATCCATTCTAGGTCATAAAAGTTAACGAGGGACTGAAGGAAGTCAGAAAAACAGGAACAACAGGTGGCCACCAGCTGGGATGGACCTGGTCATCTTTTGGGAAAGATGGCACTCGTGCTAATTCTGGAAGAGCAAGAAAAATTCAGACAGGAAGTCTTCCAGACCACAAAAATATCTGGGGAAGTCATGGGTACTTGAACGAGGCCTTGAAGGGCCAGCTGGGGAGGTGGATGATGGAAGGAGGGGAGGCTCCCCGGGGAGCGGGAGGAATGGCAGGAGAGAGACCGTGTTCCATTCAGGGCTACTTGGATTGTGAGAAGCAGAGCTTCACTCACATGGGCTCTGGGGAAAAAGGAGATTTATTGTAAAGTTAACAACTGTCAGAAAGAGTGAGTGGAGCCAGTGAGTCAATGGAGCATGACACTGTCCTGGTATTTCTCTCACCTTCCTCTATCCCCTGTCCCCCATCTCCCCTTTTATGCTTCTTTCTGTGCATCTGATCCATTCCATCTTCTCTGGCGTCTTCACGCCCATCTTCCCATGATGGCTGACCCAGTCTTGCCTCGCCTCTTTTACCTCCCCCATCTGTTTTGTCTGGAATATCCCCTTGTGGGTCTTGGTTCAAACATCCATCATGGGGAATCTGTTTGCCCAGCCAGGTGACAGGTCATGGGGGGAGCTGAGCAGAGCCTGCCCTGGACCGGGCTCAGATCCAATCGTTAGCAGGATCTCAGGGTCTGTCACCAGCTCAACAGAGGCTGTGGGAGGAGTTTCTCCTGAAGAAGGCAAGGCAGACAGGCGCTCCAAAATATGTCAAACAGGCCAGGCGTAGTGGCTCACGCCTGTAATCCCAACACTTTGGGAGGCTGAGGTAGGCAGATCACTTAAGGTCAGGAGTTCAAGAACAGCTTGACCAAATGGCGAAACCCCATCTCTACTAAAAATACAAAAATTTGCTGGGCGTGGTGGCACGCACTTGTAATCCCAGCTACTCGGGAGGCTGAGGCAGAAGAATCGCTTGAACTTGGGAGGCAGAGGTTGCAGTCAGCTGAGATTGTGCCATTGAACTCCAGCCCAGGCAAGAGTGAAACTCCATCTCAAACAAACAAACAAACAAAAATGTTAAACACAGCACAGAGGCAAGACGCTTTAAGGTGGTCGCCTAATGAAGAGGAGGAACAGTGGGTGTCGGGGTCAGGATGCAGGGAAAGCTGGAAAGTTAATTTGGGGCTAGATCATGCCGTTTTGGATACCCCACAAAGGGGTTTAAGCTTTTTTTTTTTTTTTTTTTTTTTTGAGACCGAGTCTTGCTCTATTGCCCAGGCTGGAGTGCAGTGGTGCGATCTCGGCTCACTGCAAACTCAGCCTCCTGGGTTCACGCCACTCTCCTGCCTCAGCCTCCTGAGTGGCTGGGACTACAGGCGCCCGCCGCCGCGCCCAGCTAATTTTTTGTATTTTTAGTAGAGACGGGGTTTCCCCGTGTTAGCCAGGATGGTCTCCATCTCCCGACCTCGTGATCCGCCCGCCTCGGCCTCCCAAAGTGCTGGGATTACAGACGTGAGCCACCGCACCCGGCTGGGTTTAAGCTTTAATCGGAAAGTCATAGGAAGCCACGGCAGGTGCAGGGTAAAGGAGTAACAGGATCAAAATGGTGCTGGAGAACACTGTGTGCAGGGAAGGTGCAGGTGTGTGGAGGACAGTCTTGGAGAACGGGAGCATACAGTAGGGCACGGGAAAGGAAGGGGGGGACTGATGCACAGAAACTGGGGACCAACGTGTTGCAGGAGGGAAAGAGCAGGGAGAATCAAGGGTGGTTTTGAAGTTGCAGGGGACCCGGGGCAACAATGGTCAGAGTTTGAGAAAGAAAAGTCACAGCAGGCACTAGTTTACGAGTGTTAGACATTTATTCATTTGAGCACATTCTGCCAGGCACTGGGCCAGGCCTTGTGGGACGCAGAAAGTACCTAAATGGCATCTGTAGTTGGAAAGGCTTGCAGAGCCCAGAGGCCTGCTGCTTATACCCCACTCCCTGCCCTTCCATAAGCAGTCCATCAAGAAGTGTTCAGGTGTTGCCTCTAACAGGAAGCTTTCCTTGACTTCCCAGGCCAAGATTGAGTGGCCCTGCTATATTTTTCTCTGGGTTTACCCCTATGCTAGGTTTTCTCCAAGGGGAAAAACTATTTCCTTGTATCCCCCTGACCAAACTGTGCTTTCTGGGAGAGCAGAACCCTGGGGAGTTTTTATCCCCAGGGTCTAGCACTGTATCTCGCATACACTAGACACTCCACAAACATTTGCTGAATTAATAGTGACAAACACCACATGCAAGGCACCATTTAAGTGATTCACACATATAAATTCACCTAATCCTCACAGCAACCCTAAAAGCTAGGTACTACTTTTGTTATCATCATCTCCATTTTACAGATCTATTAACTGAGGCAAAGAGGTTAAGCAATTTGTCCGAAGTCATATAGCTAGTAAGTGACAGAGCCAGGCAGTCTGGTTCCAGAGCCCTTTCTCTTGAGCTCTACACCATGACTGCATGTGGTAGAAATGAAGGTTGGGAGCTACAAGTCCCATAACAACAACTTGGGGCTAAAGCATCAGTGACCTCCAAGCAAAGGCTTCAGGGAACCAAGCTGGGTTTACTGACTCACTGCAAAGAGGTAGAACACACACGAGAAGGAACCGTGGGGCATCTCAGTTAGAGGATGCTGGGAAGGACTGATCCTAGGGTTGGGCTCTTTCTAGGTGATTGAGCGGAGACTATGAGGAAATGAAGTGTGGCTTCACTCTGAATTGGATGCCATCAGGAAGAAAGGGTCATTCTATAATTGAGTATCTTAATTCACATCTAGAAGAAGAGAGTGGAGCAAGACTAAAGCTGTGATTGGTTTTTTAAACAGCAGTAATCACTCATATTAGCAAGGACAGGAGAATGTTTAGTCATTTTTGTGGCTGGATGATAGTCCTGTTTTCGTCTATGTTCAGTTGTGATTGAGTGATTCTTATTTTCGTCTCGATCCATCAAGGTCACAGGGTGACCCTGTCTGATGATGGTGTTCTGTGACATCGCTTCCGTGTTGCAAAACACCAGGCTGAGCTCTGAGTGTCAGGGCAGCTCCAGCTGCCATGGGCTACTTTTCTCAGCGGTAAAATAATACGGATACATTGTTCCAGAACTTGACATTAATGCCAAAGTATTCCTCTTCACCTTCTCCAAGTTTCCTAGAGGGTTGAGTCGCTAGGAGTGGGCAGCTTCAGTTGTAGGGTGGAGGAGGCTGGCAGCTTCACACCAATCCCAGAATGTTTTTAAGGTCCCCTGGCTACAGTTTTTCCTTTGCTTCTCTTTTGCCTCAGCACACAGCTAAGGGCTGAGGCTGCAGTGTTCCAAAAGCACCTGGGAAGCTGGCAGGCCCACACTGCTAATATGCATTCATCACCATTATTTTTCCAGACCATATATGGCTTCCAGTGCCTTCCTTCACCCAGCACCCTGTGTGGTCTTCCACTGATGAAGGACCTTGTATCATTTAAAGCAATCACTTCTCTCCTTTCTTCCTGGAAACTGGAGACCTCTTCAGTGACCACAAATTATCAGCTGCATTTCTGGCTGAGGCCTCTGCATTGTTCAGCTCCCCCACCCCATTCCCCTCACCCTTTCCCCCTTGACCCACTTTCTTCCCAGCAGGGGAAGGCCATCTATTTCTGCCCTCCCCTGACTCCCTGGAGCTGTTTGATTTTAGGAGCCTAGTTTATTTACAGCTCATTCCTGCTCAGAATATTTCCATCAGGTGGACGTGTAGGGAGCAGCTTCCCCCTCCCTCCTCTCTCCCAGTCAACTAAGCCAGGACTTCACATGTCTATTTTGGTGTCATCCGAGTGGCCTGTGGGTCTCTATCATGGACCATCTCTGTAGAATCGTGTCTGAGCTCAGGCTCCGGTCTGGAAAAGCCCCGGAAGGCTCCGTTGTATTGAAAGCAATCCTGTGCGTACCTCCGTGGAGCCGCAGAAACCCGGGTGCAGCACATGGCTCAGCACCAGGCAGCTGCCTTGGAAACGTCAACCATCACGGAACTTCAGGACCTCATGCCCCAACTTAAAGACATCAAGGTCATGTTGTATGTGGCCAGTGCATTGCCAAATTCTGGGTAACTGTTTAATGCAGGCTTTGGGCAAGTGTTTGGGGCTTCTGCTGTTGATGATGCTGATTTTACCCTTTGGACTCAATACCCGTTCTTGAGAAGGAGACTTTCTCCTGTTTCATTTCAAGAAACTGAAGCACATCTTTGGAAAGAGATTCTCTTCAATTTACTCTTGGAAAGACATAGATGTGAATCAGAGTGTTAAGTCCGGGTGCAAGTGGCCATGTGAGCCAGTACAACTCGCTTACTCAATCTGAAACTTAGTTTCCTCATCTGTACCACAAGGAGTTTTGTCCAAATCATCTCCAAAGTCCTTTAGTCTTTTTTGTTTGTGTTTCTTTTTTTTTTTTTTTTTTTTTTGAGACAAAGTCTCACAATGTTGCTCAGGCTGGAATGTAGTGGTGTGTTCTCAGCCCACTGAAACCTCCGCCTCCCGGGTTCAAGCCACTCTCGTACCTCAGTCTCCTGAGTAGCTGGGATTATAGGCGTGTGCCACCATGCCTGGCTAATTTTTGTATTTTTAGTAGACACAGAGTTTTGTCATGTTGGCCAGGCTGGTCTCAAACTCCTGACCTCAGGTGATCCACCTGCCTTAGCCTCTTAAAGTGTTGGGATTACAGGCGTGAGCCACTGCACATGGCCTCCTTTAGTCCCTTTTTAAGATAAGTATAACACCAGAACCACCACTGTGTCCATCTTCATCTCCCTTCTTGCAAGGCCAGCCCCACAATAGGTTACTGGAAACAGCATTTTCCATTTCTGCCTTCTGTTTTTCCATCAAGTAGCCTTCCCTCCCACCCCCTCAACCCAACAAATGTGTCATTAGAAACTGCCAAAGGAAAGAACTGACATAAGCATCCTGCCTCAGCAGGTTGGGAGAATTACAAGTGCAGTCACATAACTGTTCCGCACCTGCCTGTCCAGTTGGTGGACTAGTCAGCTTTTTACTTCCTCCTCCTCCTTTGGAGCCTTTCCCTGCCTGTGGGAACTTGCATGAGAGAGAGAGACCCAAGAGAAGAGAGAAGGCCAAGGGTACATGCTTTATGACATCTTGGAGTGCTTTGACTTTATTGTGGTGAGTTGAGTCTCAGCTACAGTAAAGTTCTTACATTAACTGAATACAATTTGCCCAAAATTCCCCCCGATTCACTTGTTCCAGAGAAGGCTGCACCCTACAATTTTCCTTCAATCCCCACAACAAACCTTGAGAAACAAATTCTGATCCTAAAAGTTGCACATAATTTGAACTTCTCTGAAAGAACACGGTAGAGTTTGCCTTCTGCTGTATGCCCCCGAGCAGGCAAGGATGCAGCCTGCAAAGAACAATTTGGTGGTTTGGTGGCTGTGCCTCTGAGCCACATTACCCAAGCCAGTCCACTCAAGAGTGATGGAGACTGTCTCAGCCACCCAACACCAGCGGGGGCCCGGACCACAGAGCACAATTTTACTTCCAAGCCAAGGTACCAGCTGCCAGCCGGCCAGCCTGAAGTCAAGGTCACAAGAGGGACACAGACAAGTGCACACACCCGTGAGCAAGTACACCAGGTCCCCACCAACTCTACTGTGAAACGCCTTTGCATTGCAATTTCAACACTGGCTGAGAGGTTTAAAATTTAAAGGCTTTCACAATGAGAAACAGCCCTGTGAAAGAAAAAAAAAAAAAACTTAAAAGAAAAAAATGTGAAGGCTACTGAAACCTCCTAGTACAGTCTGCTTTCCAAGAGTCTTTTTTCCAAAACAATGCATGTGCATCCGCGCGCACACCCACATGCACACACAACTCACCCAAGCAGCCTGCCGAGTAACAGAGCAGTCCTGAAATGATGAGCAGATGAGCGAGGCTGAATGATGAGCCCGTCATTGTGAGGCAAGGCCCAAAGCGGACTGGCCAGGGAACACTAGCCGGAGACAGGCTGAGATTCGTCACGCCTCCGAGTGCTCCCAGTGCCTGGCCTGTTTGGCATTAGGGGTGGGAGTTGGCCAATCCCTGCTTTGATGTTGTTTCTGCCCCAGATGCCAGGGGTCTGAGGCCAGCTCCTGGGAGCAGCAATGGGTAGGCAGCCCTGCTCCAGCTGCCCATGAACACTGCTGTAGGGGAGACCTGGAGTACAAGAGTGCCTTCAGCCCAGGGGAGGACATAAGGTTGGGAGCCTGGGGATACTTAGCCCCTGCAAGCCAAGAGGAAATGGAGAGCAGTCAGTCAAACAGGCTGCTTTTCATTTGGCTCAAAAACCGCCTTGTCAATACTGCTCTGGTAAGCCTCAAAGTCAACCCCCACCGAGACTGTCCAAAGGGAGCCTGCCCTCCTCTGCTTCAGGGAAGACCTTCGTGGCCAGGGGTCTCAGCTGTCATCCCATCTGGGCCAAAGTGTTGCTGACAAAGCTAAACGTAACCAAAACAACAACAACGACGATGAAACCACAAACAAACAAAATATATAGATTTCCAGAGGGCATGTGGGCAAGTCTTTTTGCATGAAACCTGCCTATAACATAATAAGGTGGCATATACCAGTTACACATTTAAATCTATCTGGTTCTTTATAGGCACACCCAGTGCACAAGCATGGACACACAATATTTTAGATTATAAAAGACAAGATCATTATTATACTACTTAGCAATAAGCAGTGTTGTTTTAATCAGCTTAGTAAAGACCATAAGCTATAGCAGGAGTCAGCAAAGTTTTGCTATAGAGGGCCACACAGTAAATATTTAGGCTTTGTGGGTCACACAGTCTCTGTTACAACCTCACTTTGCCATTGTACAGGAAAGCAGCCATCGACAATACATAAAGGAATGAGTGTGGCCATGTTTTATAAAAGTTTATACAAAAATAGGAGGCAGGCTGGATTTGGCCCACAGGCTGTAGCTTGCCAAGCCCTACACTATAAACTTCGAAAGAAAGGACACTTACGTTCATTCATTCATTCATTTACTGTTTTAGTCATTCAGAAACACAGTAAGTACCAAATTGTGGAAGATACAATGACTAGACACAGTTCCTGCCCTTGGAATGTGTTGTTCAGTTTCATGGGAAGAGTACTGGCCCTGCAGTCATCCAAGTTGGGTTTAAGTCCTGGTTTTGCCACTTAGTAGCTGAGTGACCTTGAGAAAGTTATTCATTCTTTTGGAGTCTAAGCTTTCTTACTTGTAAAGTGGGCATGCAAAGCCGACTTTAATAGTTTGTTGTGAGAATTAGAGCTACAGCTTTTGGAATTCCTGGCGCAGAATAAGGGCTCTCTTATCGACATATTCTTGGATAACTGTTGTATAAGGCAAAAAAGAAGAGTGGCTAACATAGGGCAGGGATGCCTGAAGGGCTTTATAGAAGGAAGAAATGGGTAACAGTTGAGGGGGAGAGGGTCCAAGTGAGATATCAAGGAAGGATTCCTGGAAGAGGTGGCATTTGAGCTGATGTTTGAAAGCAGAGATTTGCTGTGTCAAGATAGGAGGAGTGGGAGGTGAGGCTTAGGCTGTGTTCCTTCTCTGGGGAATTCCCCTTTGTCCTTCTCAGAAACTGGGTCTGAGACCTCAGAGAAAGTAGCAATAAGGTCAGGGAGTCCTCAGTCCTGAGTCCTAGAGAGTTGCAGGAATATCTGCATCACATTTTCCCAACTTTCTCTATTCTGAGTCATATTCTTGCAGCTCTTCATTTTTCAAATTTCATTTCACAAACCTTCAGAGATGGAAGTTTTGCCACTTTTCACACCAAAAGCACTTTTTTTTTTTTTTAACCACATGGCATCAAACTTTTTCTAAAAAGGTTGACATATGTAAACCACTCAGCTGTACTTTGTTTCATTACTGTAAAAACAAAAGTAGCTGGACTAGATGATCGCTGGGGTCCTGTCCAACTCAGCAGGTGTTGAATCTCTATTTGAACCTAATGGTTCAGGCTCACGAATATTTTCTGCCTCTTCTCTGTGTTTCTGTCCTTCTGCTGCTCTCTTTTCTGTCTCTGTGTTACTCTCTCTGTCTCTGTGTCTCTCTGTCTATAACTTTGTCTCATCCTCTGACATTGTCTCTGTCTTCCCAAGCACGTACCATTGAATTTAAGTCAAATTTCTGGATGTATGCTCAACTACTTTTAACAGCTCTCCAGCCAAGTGTGCCAGCCTGGGATTAAGAGCCCTGGTCTTTAGCCCTGGCACTAACTCACTGTGTGACCTAAGTCAACCCATTTCCCCTGTGGGTCTGGATTTTTCTAGATGTACAATGAAAGCCTTGGACCAGATGCGCTCTAACCCCTTCCCAGCTTTGGCATCTACCATGGTCTGTGATTCCTGAGACATCGATGGTTCCCAGACAGGGGTGAAGGATCTCCCCTCTTCCCCCTTAGTGAGCAATCTTTGCCCTCAAGTTCCCTCAGGTGCCTTAGCCTGGCACCAGTTCACCATGGCAGAGCTGCCTGCAAAATCTAATTCACAATACAAGTTTCCGGGGCCTTCCTGCAGCTGTCAGCAGGTGTCACATTCACAGTATTTTGTCTTAATTACAGCTCTGGGATTTATCAGCCAGGCTAGAGACCTCTTCTGGAATACGACATTCCTGGGAGCTGTTCCAGGCGCTCCTGTCCCTGCTGCTGCCACACACAGGCCTGTTCCCTGCTGATGGGGCCAAAGTTGATTCTGCTTTGAATGCTCCTCATGCTGTGTCTCCCACCACTACCACACAGAGAGCCTGTGCAGCATAGATAACTCCCACACCCTTCCCAGGGACCCAGAAGCAAAGACATCTACCTGTCTGGGGCAGTGCCAAGGCTCCCACCAGCCCTGGAGCACTTCACGTCTGCTGTCCCATCCCAGAACCCTGGTGGACAGAGAAATAGGTAGGAGGACCCAAGTTCTGCCTTCCCACCAACAACCATTCCCTCCTTGGCCAAGTTTTGGTCAGGTTCCCCTGAGCCCTCTTCTTGACTAGGCCTTGAACGTGGGCTTCCGTGTCCATCCTTGCAGAGTCCAGTTACAGCCAGAATCTTGATAAGTCAGTTTAGAGAGAATCCCCCACCCTTGAGAACTGATCATCCTGGTCTGCCTTCAGCAAGAATCCTGTTAAGTTGGTTCAGTCAAAATCCCCCTATCATGATGTCTCCTCTTAGTAGTTTTTAATCCACTGACCCACCCAACCTGCTTTTTGGCTATAAATCCCCACTTGTCCTTGTAATGGAGCTAAGGTTGATCTCTGTGTCCTATTGCAATAGTCTTGGATAAAGTCTTCCTTACCATTTTAACCAGTGTCAGAATAATTTTTTCTTTAATCTCACCTCTAGATCCAATGGTTTTGTTTACTCAGGAGAGTCTTGTAAAAGACTAACCTCTAGGGGACAAAGAGTCTTCATCTCATCTGCTAACTTGTACTGATTTTTTTTTTTTTTTTTTTTTTTTTTTTTTTTGAGATGGAGTTTTGCTCTTGTTGCTTAGGCTGGAGTGCAATGACATGATCTTGGTTCACTGCAACCTCTGCCTCTTGGATTCAAGCGATTCTCCTGCCTCAGCCTCCCGAGTAGCTGGGATTACAGGCACCTGCCACCACACCTGGCTAATTTTTTGTATTTTTAGTAGAGACAAGGTTTCACCATATTGGCCAGGCTGGGCTTGAACTCATGACCTCAGGTTATCCACCTGCCTCAGCCTCCCAAAGTGCTGGGATTACAGACATGAGCCACCGTGCCCAGCCTTTTATAAATTTTTTTTTTTTAAATAAAGTCTCCCTCTGTCACCCAGGCTGCAGTGCCGCAGCGCGATCCTGGCTCACTGCAACCTCCACCTCCTGGGTTCAAGAGATTCTAGTGCCTCAGCCTCTGGAGTACCCAGAATTACAGGAAAAACACCATGCCTGGCTGTTTTTTGCATTTCTGGGGGACAGTGAAGCCATGGGATGGAAAGGGCCTGCACCCCTGAATGCCAGAATGGAGGTGCACTGCCCCCAACCAGGGACACTGATCAGTTAGGTGAGCAAAAAATAAATTTTAATTAGGATAAGCCACTAAAATGCTACCTGTTATAGCAGATAGCATTGCCCTAACTCAGTTGTGAGGTGCCAACAATGGGAGACATTCCTTGATGTTCCCCATTCAATCCTTTGATCCCCGCAACAGCCCCACAAGGTACATATTAGTACTGTCATCCTCATTTTCAGGTAAGGCTCAGGGAGATTAAGGGATGCACCCAAGGTCAAATGCAACAGTTACCAGCACACAGTGGAGATCTTCCACTACCACCACCACCACCTAGAGAGAAAGAGCAGGAAACCTCAGAAGAAATGGCACCCGAAGGAGTCAGAAGTGTTGCCTCAGCCAGCTAAGGTTGGAACCACTTACCAATGCCCAGAATCACGTCTTTCTAATCAAACCCAATGACTGTTCCTCTCTGGGTTTCAGTTTCCTGGTTTGTAAACTCCCATGAGTAAATAATCTCTGCTTATCCCAAACATAGACAGGGTTCAATCAGGTGTGCTGGTGGTCTTCAATCAAACATGGGTTTACCTCCCCTATTCTGTTCTCCAAAGTAGGTGACAAATCTGCAACTCACTTGAAGTCCATCAATAAAAAGATGAATAAACAGATATATGATAGAGTAATCACAGCAAAATGATAGCCAGTGCAGAATCGATACGGTGCATGATTCGTTTTCTAGGGCTGGGGTAACAAAGTACCACAGACTGAATGGCTTAAACAACAGAGACTTGTTTCTCATAGATCTTGAGGCTGGAAGGCCAAAACCCAGGTGTGGCAAGTTTGTTTTCCCCTGAGGCCTCTCTCCTTGGCTTGGGCATGGCCACCTGCTTGCCATGTCCTCACATGGCCTCTCTTCTGCCCGCATCCCTCGTGTCTCTTTGTGTGTTCAGATTTCCTCTTCTTATAAGAACACCAGTCAAGTTGGATTAATGCCCACTCTAATGGCCTTATCTTAATCACTTTTATAAAGATCTCATCTCCAAATACAGTCATATTCTGACTGGGCATGGTGGCTCACGCCTATAATCCCAGCACTTTGGGAGGCCGAGGCAGGTAGATCACTTGAGGTCAGGAGATGGAGACCAGCTTGGCCAACATGGTGAAACCCTTTCTCTACTAAAAAATACAAAAATTAGCCAAGTGTGATGGTGGGTGCCTGTAATCCAAGCTACTCGGGAGGCTGAGGCAGGAGAATCGTTTGAACTCGGGAAGTGCAATTTGCAGTGAGCCGAGATCGCACCACTGCACTCCAGCCTGGGCAACAGGGCGAGACTCAGTTTCAAAAAACAAACAAAACCAAAACCAAAAACAAATACAGTCACATTCTAAGGTACTGGGTATTATTGGGGCTTCAACATGAATTTGGGGGAGACACAATTCAGCCCCAAACAGTGGACATATTGGTGTTCCCTGAGCAATTATCTTTTACTTTCTCTGAATGTTTGAAATTGTTCCTGATTTTAAAAAGAATACAATTAAAAATGTTTAAGTAGGCAACAGAGAACCAGAAGATACGTTCACAAGGATGAGGGTTGGGAGCAGGTCAGCCCAACTCCCTTGTTAGCAAATGTCTAGGGGCCCCTGGAGCTGCACAGAGCTAAGGCACCAGCGCCTCCTGGAGGAACCTGAAGCCGCTCATCGAGAGGCCTTGAGCAGGTTGTTGAATCACTGCAAACAATATAAGAAGGTTACTCTCTTCTGTCTCCCACCCCTAACCCACAGAGATGTCTTGAGGAGGAAAAGTCTACCCTCACTACGAGGATGAAAGAAAATCAGTCATCTCATATCGGTCATTATTTTATATAAGTCATATATCAAAAATACCTCCTTTGCACACATAGAGTCAAGAAAACAAATCCATCCCTCTTTCTTTCCCCTGACTAGGAAATTATTTTGGACCTTATCTAAAGAAAGGCATCTGCTTTTTGAGTTCAAGTTCTAATCTGACCAAATGGCATGTGGTAAGTAGAAAGGAAGGAGGAGACAATGCTATTAGGAGCCAAGGGAACATAAAGAAACCTCTCCATGGCTGGCTGCGCCTTGATTCTGAATTTGATTACAGCGGCCAACATAAATCAGCCGGTGCTATTAAATCTTCTGCCAGGGCTTGACAGGGGAGGACAAGTTTGTAAAAATTATTCGGGAGATCTGGCCATAGGTCAGAGACAAAAGCTTCCAGCTGCATCGAGCCCAAAGGGTGGGTTATTTCCAACACCTGCTGACAACTGTGACCGCGTGGAAAGACCCTACGCTTCCAGCCGCTACGTTTCCATGCCTTCGTTTTTCCATGGTGACAGTTTAGCTCTATAGTCACTTGTAATTCAAAACCACCTGGCTCACTTATTCCTTTCCCCAGACCCATCCCTGCACCCCCACCCCACCTCCAGGATCTATTGTCCAAGGGTCCACAACAGGTGGGGAGGAGGGAGGCTGGGTTCCTGGGAGCCCCATGGCTGCCCACTGGCACAGACTGGCATCTCTACCCATTGGTCTCAAAGTCACTACAACTCCTGGATTCCAGAAATTGGGGAACCTAGGGCGGATCCCTCTGGACTCAGTTGAGCACTAGCACTTATCATCTGAGCAAGTTGGCAAGATAAACCTTAGGCTTTCTGTAGCACTATAATCCTGTGATTCTACCAATCTCTCTGAGATCTCAATTTTCCTTGCTGCTTTGGATCTAAGGACTTTTAAAGACAAAAAATCACATCCTGTGCTCCAGATGAAAGGTGGTACTTTATATGTACAGATAGTATTTTGTTTAATTGTTTAGAATAGGTAATACATGCATGTGATTCAAAATTCAAAACATATAAACAAGTATGCATTAAAATTCTTTCTCCTACCCCTCTCCCTCAGCTACCCAGTTTCAATTATTTATTATCGATCATTACTTAGTTTTCTATGTATACTTCTGGGACTATTTTATGCACATACAAGCAAATAGGTAGGTATAATATTTTCCCCCTTTTACTCAAAGGGTTACTTGTAACATTCTGTTATACACATGGTACTTCCTCTCGGTTTCTTCACAGTATTTTTGTTTAAGAGACGGTATCTCATCACGCTGCCCAGGCTGGAGTGCAGGCATAATTCCACTAATGATCAGCACAGGAGTTGTGACCTGCTGTTTCTAACCTGAGCGGGTTCACCCCTCCCGGAGCAGTGTGGCATCCCGCTTCTGGAAGGACACTGTAGTGATGCCAAACTCGGTGTGGATATCCCATCACCATAGTGCACTATAGCCCAGAACGTCTAGATTCAAGTGATCCTCCGGCCTCAGTCTCCTGAGTAACCGGGACTACAGGCACACACCAGTGCACCAGGGTCTTCACAGTATTTCTAAGAAATTATTCTGTAACTACATAAAATGCATGCACACTGTTTTCTTTTCTTTTTTTTCTCTTAGAGATGAGGTCTTGCTATGTTGCCCAGGCTGGTCTCATATTCCTGGCCTCAACTGATCCCAACTCACCCTCCCAAAGTGCTAGGATTACAGGCATGAGCCACTGTGCACACCCCACTTTCTTTTCTATGGCTGCATAATATCCCTTTCTTTGGAAGAACCATAATTTGTTCGCTCTGCCCCCTACTGATGTGCATTTGGATGATTTGCAAAATTTGCTGATGCAAACAATGCAACTAAATAACCTTCCACATGCATCTTTGTGTATGCTGGTAAGACTATCCATTACATGAATTCTTAGAAATAAAAATACTGGGTCAAAAACTATGGGCACTTGTAATTTTTATACATACTGCCTAATTCATCTCCAGAAAGCCCCTGTCAATTCACATCCCCTCCTAGAAGCAGTGGATGAGAGCGCCTGTTTCCACACACCTTCACCAACAGTCTGATGTTCGACCTTTTGAATTTTGCCTACTTGATAGGTGAAAAGTGGGTCTCACTCTGTTGCCCAGGCTGGACTACAGTGGTGCATTCACGGTTCACTGCAGCCTTGACCTCCCAAGCTTAAGCAGCCCTCCCACCTCAGCCTCCCAAGAAGCTGGGACTACAGGTGTGTGCCACCACGCCCAGCTAATTTTTCATATGTCTTAGTAAGATGGGGTTTTGCCATGTTGGCCAGCTGGTCTCAAACACTTGGGCTCAAGTGATGTGCTAGCCTCAGCCTCCCAACGTGCTGGGATTACAGACGTGAGCCACTGCACCCAGCCTTCAGCGTGGTTTTAATTTTCATTTCTCATATAGTGAATGAGACTGAGAATATGTTCAAACATTTTGAAGCCATTTATACTCTTTCCATTTTTTTCATTGGGTTGTCAATTTTTCTCTTACATTATTTTTCTTACACATAGGAAAGAAACACTTTATTACATGACTTGCAAATATTTTTCCTAGTTTTTTTGGCCTTTTGAGTTTGTTTTTGCCACACATAATTTTTTTATGTAGCAGAATTTAATG